GAACTTCAGGCTATCTTTGACATCTTTGAAAACAAAGAAGTCTCTCAAATTAAGAGAAGATGGGAAGATGGTGTAAAGAGACTATAGCAGGGAAGTAAATGTGATCCCTCACAAGAATGATGCTCTCATTGGAAGACCAGACAGACCAAGTGTAAATAGAGGTCTAACTAGAAAACAGCATTTTCTTTAAGAATAGCTGGGGTGGCCTTCCAAAAACAGAATCATACACTTAGAGCTATGAGTAGGCAGCTCAATGGCTTCCACATAGAAGACACTTAATAAATGTTTGTTGAATTGAATTGACCGCATTCCAATATCCTCAGTTTATAAATGAGGAAACTTGAGTCTACCAAGGTGTTAAATGACTTTCCTAAGGTCACATAAGTAGTAAGTAGAAGAGGAAAGATTTGAACCCAGGTACCACTACGCCATAGATAGAGTAAAACTCACTGAGTTTTTTTGAAGTTGGATAATGGCATGCACCATTTTGTTCGTTGCTGTCTGGACAATTTTTAAGCAAAGGGAGGTCCCTTAGCAGTAAAAGCTGGGCACTAGAAACACACCAGTGCACAGCTAGAAAAGTGCACCTGCGCCTACTGCTTTAGCTAAAGAATTCAGTTCAACAGAGTTGGGGCATCATAACTGCAGAGTTAAGCAGAAATTCTGCATTAGAATCCAGGATCCCATCATTGATTTTATGTTGTCAATAAGCATTTTAAGTGAAAATTTTCCTGAATTTGGAACTGAATCAGTAAACATGCAGCAGATTCAGCTAACACATCTAAGCATTCACTGTTAGACACCTTTAGTGCCAGAAGGCTTGAAAAAAATGGGTTTTAATTGGGCAGTTAAACTGTGAAAATCCAGCTGTGTTTTCCTTTTCATGAGCACTAATCAGAGTTCTTCATCAGTCTATCCAATGGTATGTTTTCATTCAAAGGATCTTTTTGGTTTTTAAGACTGATTTCAAATGGGGACAGGGTTAAAGAAGTATCTTATCCACTGTGGTGAGTAATTGAAAGCTTTTTCTTTGTAGCTTGTCTTTTAAATAGGTCAGGAACCGCAAGCCGTCTCTATCACAAAAGCAATTCAATTTTAACCCTTCCTTATTTATTGCTGCCTTATACACTGGGATTACACAGAAATAAAAGTGTTTTGCTATTTCTGCTGATATTTAAAACCAAGGTATACAGAATCTAGTGTCCTTAGTAAGAAGCAAAAATCATCCCTGGAAAGCAATCAAGTCCAGAGAGTCAGAGTGAAAGTATGAATTATAGTACTTCGGTTTGTTAAGAAGGAAACCCTTCTAATAAGGATGACAACAATAATAACTAATAGCTATTATACTTTAAGGTTTCTAAGCACTTTATAAATATTTGATCCTCACATCAACCTTGGGAGGTTATAGCTATTTTTATTCCCATTTTATACATGAGGAAACTGAGGCAAGCAGAGGTTAAGTGACCCTCCGAGGGTCATACAACTATTAAGTAACTGAGGCAGGTTTTTAATTTAGGCCTTCCTGACTCCAAGCTATCCACCTAGCTGCATTTTTAGATTTACTGTTTACATCTAAACTGTAAATGGTTGGGGTAGTTTTAAAACAAAGTTTGGCACTATCTGCCTTCCTAAAAATCTAGGCCCAGGTGACCAATTAGACTACCATGAGAAATTTTGAAGTTAAAGTTATTCCCTCAATCCTCTCAGTCCTGATTTTTCACTAAAGGAGTAAATATAGAACAGGAGAGGCACCCAAAGCTACTGAAGCTCCCTGAGTATTTTTTAACTGAGATTAAAAATGAAATTATATTGGAAAAAATAAGGACAGATCAATGTCATTTAAATCCTCCTTTAGCTTGAGAATGAAGCTGTTGTATAGAAAGATATGCATAATGCTCCCCTCCTCTCTCCCCCCATCTGCCTTAGTGTCCTGTCCTCTGCCTTTCTCTTTTCCTTCTCAGAGACATCAAAACAATGCAGTTTTTCCAGTAACTTTTCTACTAATGCTGGAAGGGTTTTTTCTTCATAATGTTGTTGAATGTAACCATGGTTTTCATTCTAAGTCCATGCATATGTATGCTTGTTGTACCCACATGCTGGATAAGAGGAGAGTTGTCTCTTCATTGGATATTGCAAATGAGAATCTTGGAGGAAACATTGATTATTAATTCCTTCATATTGCGTGGTTACAATTAGTTCTGTGGTCGCTAGCCTGTACTATTAGGAATAACCAAAAGACGAAACAGAAATATGTACACATTCAAAATGTGAACTGAAGGATTTTGTCCACCTTTCCCCCAACAGATCATGTATGGTTTCTCTAATTTGAGGTAAAATAGTGTTTACAACCATTAGACAAGGGAGACAGTGGCAGAGAAAACTAAACAGATGTTAGTAAAAGATTTAACTTCCAAAGTGGGATATGCTAATATCTCCTGGGGGAGGGTGCACAGCGTGAGGGCCAGGGTTGTATAGAATCACACAAAGGTGGTTAAATATAACTTCTATGATTTATTTCTTAGGATTTTGGAAAACAGTTCTTTAAATCCAGTTTTCCTTCTATCTCAGTGTTATCAGAAATCCAGTAAACTTGTTAACCTAGAGGTGGTAGGGGGAGGCCTAATCCTTATTTCCTGGCTTCAGAAGGTCACCTCTGCTGCTTTTGCAAGCATGCTCCCTGAGCCCTTCTGCCTTCCAGGTCTAATCTCCTTATAGGTGCCGCACCATGGCAACAGGCCCAGCCCTGAGCACGCTGGGCACGCTGGGCACGCCAGGAACCTTGTTTATGTTACCTGAGGGGCAGGATGCAGCCTGAAGCAGGAGAGGAAAGGACCATCACTTACTCCCCAGCTGTTTCGATGAGGGTGGATTTTTTTTCCCTCGGTCTTTGTTCCTGCTCAGCTTCTAATGAAGGCTTGAAATAACTCCTGAAAAAAAAAAAAAAGACCTCAGTAACCAAGGGCGGCAGGAAGATTTTCTCCATTTGATGCCTGTCTTCTGAACAGAGACTTGGCTTTTGAAATGTAGTTCAGAAAGCAAGTTGGGGGACCAGGACATGTGGCACCGCCATGATTTGGGGTTGCACTGCCAGGTGGCTGTACAATTGCTTCATGTAGGTGGATTAATTTGTTTGAAATAAAATGTGTGGTCTATTTAGAAAATAGAGAAATGTAATTATGTGAAGACTTTTAAAAGAAACCTCTTGTTAATACTGCTTCCATTCTAAGTATGCCATAATCCTTCCTGCTAAAAGAAATTGAGGGAGGTAGGGGAGGGAGAGACTAGGGATCAGTGTAGACTCTTCCACTCCAGCGACTCCTGCTGGGAAAAATCAGCTCCAAGTGCCGGCAGGTGGAAGCCAGCTTCCATCAGCCAGATTTTCTATGAAACACATTAGAAAATTCTTGGCATAAATTAAATTAAATTATATTGTCTATGTGTTTTCACTTCTATCCCACTAAGTAGGAATCATTGATCTGTAACTTAGGTGATAGGTTTGAAACAGACAAGTAGCAAGTTAACTATTGTAATCTGTTCTGAGGGGAAAGGAAAGCCTAAATTCTTGTTATGATGCTTCTTCCATCCTTTTCAGGAGGAACTGGGAAGACACAGAATAGATAGCATTCTTCTGTTTGCCATTTTTAATTGTTAATGAGATTTTGTGGTGATATTCATTTGAATTTTAGAAGACTTGCATTTTTGAAGAATGTAAGGAAATTCCCGAGTTCAGGCAGTGGTTAAATCAAACAGAATAGAACTCTTACTTACTTTCTACATTGTTATATCTAAGTCTCCATGAGCAGATCTAGGTTGGAGACAGAATGAGGGAAAGAAAGCCAGTATTTCTCATTTCTTATCTCAAAATCTAAAAGCTCCTCTGGCATTAAGTGTTTGCATTTATTTAACATTAGCATGGTTATTTCAAAGAAATGATGGGAGGCACCTATATGATATGTTTGTTTGTTTGCAGCAATAAAGTAATTTGTAGAATATATTTCTTCTGATGCCTGTTAATAAGAATTTGAGCTTGGAATCTTTTCAGTGTTTTATAGTAAATGAATCTTATGATTGTTGCATGAACATCCAATTCAGAATTTTTAAAGTGTTGTTTCACATTATATAACTTAATTAATATTATTCTAAGCTAAGTAAAGCAGAAGTACCAAATGTCAGCTTATGCTAAAAGGAAGGGAATTCCTGCTATTCCTTAGATACCTAGGAAAGCAAATCAACTAGGATGCACTAATGGTATTGACTGAGATTGTTTCTTCAGGAAGAGGTTAGCAACATTTATTTGCAAAAGATACAGGTGATCTAAACTAGTTTCTCTTCAGTTGTGCCTCTTAAAAATACAACCAATAAAACAAGTCTTTTAAAAATTACCTACTGAAAGTGATGTTAGTCCTTGTGAGAAATAGCATCTCAGGGGAGAACTTTGACATTGACTGTAATCATGATTTCGTAGTGTAAAGAATTCAGGGGTTGAAATAAAACTTTCTTCTGTGGGCTAAATGAGGGATTTGGACCAATTAACTGAAGGAAATCTAGCATGAAGAGAAAAAAAACAGAATGAGGTGCTAGCAGTCCCTACTGTTAGAAGAATTAGACTAGAGCTGTAGCCTGGATGATTGGATGGAAGCAGAGCTCTTATGGCAAACCTTTTGCAGAAAACCCCAAATATTTTAAGTTTCTCCATCTATAAAATAGGGATAAAGAAGGAAAAAAACTACAGGAGGGAGAGACTAATAAAATTATGGTGTATGTATAGACTGTGTAAAATCACATGATACATTTGTACACTTATAAGCACAAATACTGCTACTATTATTATTTGTGAACCAACTACTGACCCATTCCTCCTTTTACTGTTATTTTGCTTTAATCATTTTTATGTTGGTCATTATCTTACCCCACAGTAGATCTTTACATGTTGGCTTTCTATAACTAACCATCTTCACCCTTTATTAGAAATATTTTATCATTCCCCTCCCATCATTTAGGTCTCGTGGACTGCCCAAGCTAAAAGAATCTCGTTCCCATGAGTCTTTGCTCAGCCCATGCAGTGCTGTAGAATGTCTGGACCTTGGCAGAGGGGAGCCGGTATCAGTCAAACCACTACATAGCAGCATACTCGGACAAGACTTCTGCTTTGAGGTAAAGCAGTGAGGAGAGAGCATGATTAAATGTATTACCTACCATATAATTTCCTGGATTTATAACTTTGATGTTGAATTATTGGTTAGTTGATCATCTTAAAGAAATAGATTGCTATAAACTATATACCCTCTAAATAATGCAAAAGGAAGACAGTTGTGTTTCTAAGTAAAGATTTGTTCAATCAAATTATTCAAATTCCTTTTGGCCTATTATGCTTCCTAATTGAATAGATCATCCAACTCTCAGTTGTAGGTCACAGGGTCAATAATAACTTACTTGCATTATATTATTTTTTAGAATTGATAAAGTCTCTTAGACTGTAGCATTTTTCAAAACACTAAGTCCCAAATCATAAGTGATATTTGAAGACATTATCTAGTACTAGTGATGGGGTTCCTCATACCACTAAGAAGGTAGATCTATTGATTTCTCAAAGAAGAATCAGAAAAAGGGTTCTATGTGGTATAACTTTGATTCATAGCTTATCCTGATATCTTAAATGATAAAACCTATGTAAAAGAATCCACAGACCAAGTCTCTTCACCTTTATCTATGATGTGTTGTATTCTAGGTAACTTACTTGAGTGGAAGTAAATGTTTTAGCTGTAATTCAGCTTCAGAGAGAGACAAGTGGATGGAAAATCTACGGCGGACAGTACAACCTAATAAGGTAATATAGTGGCCTTGAGTTCCCAGCAATTCCAAAGATTCATGGGGACAAGACTAAGAAATACAACTCCACAAATGATCACTTGACTAGAGAAAGAATGTGTTAGCAAATGTTATTGGAAATGTCCTATTCCTCATCAGACTTTGTTTCTTTTTGTGTCTTCAGAATTCATTCCTGAAAGTTTTCCATAAATCGTACATTGGTTTCTCTTCAAGCAGGGGTTCTTAACCTGGAGTCCACAGATCCCCAAGGAGTCTGTGTTTAGATTTCAGGGGAAATGAATTTGGATGGGAGAAAAAATACATCTTTATTTTCACTAGCCTCTGACTGAAAAATTAGCATTTCTTTCAATTGTTTAAAGACACTATTCTAAGAAGAGGTATATAAACGTCACCTGAATGTTAAAGGAGTCCAGGACATAAAAAAAGCTAAGAACCATTGTCCTAAAGGAATCCTACCTATCTTTTCTCTAAACTCTTGGAAATCTGCTCTTTAAAAATATGGTATGCATCTCAGATTATTCCTGGCTTTCCTAGCCTTCATTAATGCAAATTCTAAGATGATATGGCCATTTCATCCCAGGTTCCCATTGTTTTTCTCTCTCAGCACCCAGTCTTGTTTATTGGTGAGAGTTACTAGAATTCAAAATGATTGTTCTCCTTGTTTGTTCCTCCTTGTAAGGGCTGAAATTGTTAAAGCAAACCAAAAGCTATTAGTTGCTCTGCTTTTTATAGAGAGACACAGCTCCAACAAATTAGCGAGGTGATTGAGATTCCATATTACTATATCAGCTAGGTAGCACAGTGCTTAGAACATTGGGTGTGGAGTAAGGAAATCTTGAGTTCCATTCCAGCTTTGAATCCTTGTGACCCTGAGTAAGCTACTTAACCTTTCTCCGCCTCAGTTCATCTATAAAATAGGGATAGTAATGACACCTACCTCACAGGGTTGTTGTGAAGATAAAAATGAGATAATATTTGTAAAGCAGTTAAACATCACAGCCCTGTGCCAGGCTTGTGATCCCAATTCCTTATCCGTGTCTTCTTTGGTTTTGCAATGTTTTTATTAATATGTCCCTTTCCATTACCTCTCCAACCCATTTAACAAATTAAACAAAAAACTCCTCAAATAAAACCAAATACATAGCTACCTAGTTCAGCAAAACAAATTCCCACATTAGCCATACCTGAAATTGTGTTTCTCCTCCTGCATTTTAAATTCATCACTTCTCTGTCAGGAGTCAAGCGGCATGTTTCAGTCTCATTTTTCTGGACTCGTTTATCGTTGCATTGATCAGAGTCCTTGAGGTTTTCAAAGCTGTTTTTCTCTATAATGCTATCATTGTGTAAATTTTTCTCCTTGTTCAACTCCCCTAGCTATGCATCAATTCATAGAGGTCTTCCCTGTTTCCTCTGAAACTGTCTGTTTCATAATTTCTCATGGCACAATAATATTTCATTATATCCATATACTACAGTTTGTTCAGCCATTCACCTATAAAAGGATACCCCCTTAGTTTGCAATTTTTGATTACCACGAAAAGCTGCTACAATTATTTCTTGGTGTGAACCCTTTTCCTTTTTCCATGATTTCTTTTGTAGTACAGACCTAGTAGTAGTATAGTTGGAATACAGTTTGGTATCTCTGTCCTCTTTCTGTCCAGATAGATTACAGTTTACCTTGTTTCTTTGTTGATTGTCATCCACATCCTATCCATCATGCTTCCTGTCTCCAGTTACTAGATTTGCTACCATGAGTATATCTTATTGATAGACATTGCTACTGTATTTTCCCACCCTGTTTAGCTCTCTTATTCCATTTGAATAAGTATGTCCTTCCAGAGCCTCAGATAATGGGTCTTATCCCAAGTCTCAGTGGAATCTATAAAATCAAATTTGCCTTTGAATTGGGGTCACTGATTTACCTTAGTTCTTACCTGTAATTTGTATAACTGTATACAACCTGAGACTTCAGAGTTTATTGAAGATTACTTTCTTGGGTTTTGTCTCCTATAAATTTCTGGATTTCCTATTATTATTCCTTTCTATGTTGTAGCTATTCTTCTATTCTCTCTTTATCTAGCTGGGTTGACATACTTAAGCTGTTTGCCCCCTTTTTTCTTTCTTAGTTTAAACTTCTTTTGATTAGATTTACAGGGTTCCAGGCAAATACATTTTTACTCATCCTTGTTAGGTGCCTCCTATCTTTGGCCATGAGTCCATCGTTCCTATATTTTAAGCTACTATCCATCAGTCCAAATTCCATTCTTTGTCATCAGGTTATTAGCTAGATCACTCTCAGATCTGCCTTTCTCATCTGAAGTTCTTATTGTCACTTGATATTAATGATGAAAATAACACCTGTGCATTTAAGGGCTTCAATTTATTATTAATGGCTTCATAATCCTATGGAATCGGTATAAACCTACAGGTTTCTGATTCATTGACATCCTTAACTTCTTAGCATGAAAAATTAACAAAGGCAAACCTGTTCCGTGATAGTTGACTCATTAATAGGCTACAGGATGTACTACTTTGAAAGAGACTATTTTCATTCTAAAATAACATTCCTTGAATTCAGCTTCCTTTTTTTCATTACAGGACAATTGTAGAAGGGCTGAGAATGTTTTACGGCTGTGGATTATTGAAGCCAAGGACCTGGCCCCAAAGAAGAAGTATTTCTGTGAGCTGTGCCTTGATGACACTCTTTTTGCTCGTACAACTAGCAAGACCAAAGCGGACAACCTTTTCTGGGGTGAACATTTTGAATTCTACAGCCTTCCACCCCTCCACAGCATTACAGTTCACATTTATAAGGACATGGAAAAAAAGAAAAAAAAGGACAAGAATAATTACGTAGGGCTTGTCAACATACCCACAGCCAGTGTGACTGGCCGCCAGTTTGTGGAAAAATGGTACCCTGTGAGCACACCTACACCCCACAAAGGAAAGACTGGAGGTCCTTCTATTCGGATTAAGTCACGTTTCCAGACTATCACCATTCTGCCTATGGAGCAGTACAAAGAGTTTGCCGAATTTGTCACCAGCAACTACACCATGTTGTGCTCTGTCCTAGAGCCTGTGATCAGTGTGCGTAACAAAGAAGAGCTGGCTTGCGCCTTGGTGCACATTCTTCAGAGTACTGGCAGGGCCAGGGTAGGTGGAGAAGGGGAATTGGATTGTTGACAAGCCATGCGAATTCTGCTTGGCATGGGGTGTGTGTGTGTGTGTGTTGTGTGTGTGTGTGTGTGTGTGTGTGTGTGTGGATTCATAGTTAGAATAGCTTGTTTAGGACACTTTTAGTTGAGACAGGGACAGTTCATTTTGTACTTGCTAAGAGCATGTTTGTGGAATTGAATTGGGACATGCATTACGAAGATGTCTATTAAATATCATTTAGAATAAATCAATATATTTGGTCACCAGCAAGGGGACATGCAGAATATAGAGCTGGCCCCAGAATTAGTGTGACCTGGGTTCAGGTTCTGCTAGTTCAGTGATCCTGGGTGTGCTCCTTCACCTCTCCTAGTGCCCCAAGGGAGGTCTCTGTGGCCCTAAGTTGTAGAAAAAGCCCTGTCTGCATTGGTGGAGGAAGTTCCTCACCTAAAGCCGAAAATCACAGCTTCCTCATTATGTGGGATGCTGACTCTGAAATAAGGAAGAACTGGATTTAAATCTCATCTCTGATGCTTAACAGCTGTGTGACAGTGGACAAGCCACTTGACCTCTGTGATCCTCAATTTTCTCTTCTATAAAATGGACTTACTACCTGAAGTACGTACTTCTTAGGGGGCAGTATAATGAGGTGCCAGTAAGCCTCACATATGTAGAGCACTTTGCAAATTTAAAAGATAGTTAGACAGACAGATTATTATTCTATTTTATGGCTTAACTTACTTGTAGTAGTCTTAAATTTTCTCATTCTACTATTAGTTAACTTGAGATGAAGTTTAATGACACAATCTTTGGGACACTTCTCACTTTCAGTATGTAGGTGTGTCCTTTGTTCCTTAAAATGCTCATACCCAGGATATGCAAGAGTGCTATTGATGCTTATTAACCATTTGTTCTTTTGTGGTTTTGACTTGCCCTAGATAAAAGTCCATTAGTGCTTTCAGCTTTGATGTAAAATGAAAAAAAAAATCATTTAATCATTTCTCTTCCTTTTTTTTTTAAATTTGACAGCCATGCAGTAGTAGTTTACCCCTCCAGCTTATAGCAACTAAATCACTACATTCAAGTAATTCTACTGACACATTTGGGACTCAAAAGCAAAGAAAAAGGAATCTGAAATGAATTGTCTTCTAGTCTTAAGAGAATCCACTAGTCTCAGTTTAGAAAACAGAGCATCCACTGATCACACAGTATCCTGCAATATGCATCATTTTCTCAGTTACCTTCTGCTTTCTTCAACTTTGCCCTGACAGGACTTTCTGACAGACCTGGTGATGTCTGAGGTGGATCGTTGTGGAGAGCATGATGTATTGATCTTCAGGGAGAACACAATTGCCACCAAATCCATTGAGGAATACCTAAAGTTGGTGGGACAGCAGTATCTCCATGATGCACTTGGTAAAAAGAAAACCAACATCCGTAATCACTGCCTTTCCTTTCTGCTATCAGCTATTTCAACCTAAAGGGACAATAGACTCACTTTAATAGCTTCTTGTCTCCAGTTTGCATGGTGGTCAAGTGTTCTTCTTTTCCTCATTTCTTTACTTGATTCCTTTGTTTCTAATTCATGACCCTTAGTTGATAGAAATGTAAGAGGGTTGTAGAGTAAAATAGATTTTGATTAACATCAAGAAACTTTGCAGCTTAATTTACATAAGTGACTTTTTGTACTCACATTATAAGCTATATCTTATAGCCACAGCAAGAGCTCTCCTTTGATGATTGTTACCATATTATAAAACTGTGGATGAAGCCTCTAGAACAGTTCTATGCTCACTGTAGGTATTCAGTAAAATATATGTTGACTAAATTCTTATTTTTGAGCTCACAAAGCAATATCACCTTCATACAATATTCTGAGCTAAATAAATTACCATGTGAATGAAGTATTTCTACATTTTGTATAAGAAGGAACAGTTTAAATAGATGGTCACTCACTGGGACATAAAACAATTAATCGAAGCCTCATGACAAGGGATTTAAGTTATCACATAAATCCATTACTGTATTTTTAAAAAATCATTACTGTATTTAAAATGGCCAATGTAGAAAAAAATGGCTACTCCCAATTGGACTAATTTTATCCATTGATAAGTTTCCTGTGGACAGAGGTTGTGTTGTCTGCTTTGTGATTCCTCATTGGCCTTGAATGATAAAATCCAGTTAACCAGAATTCATCTCACTGCATACCTCACTTAGAAGGTTCTTGCTAGGATATAGATTGGACCTGTAATCTCTGAGGAACCCCTTCTACTCTGTGATTCTGACTGGAATATCAGCTGTGATCGGTTGAAATATTTTTGTTGTTGTTGGGTTTTTTTTACTTTTTTAAAGGAAACAAATGACAAGTAAAATTTCTGTAGCACAGATTTTTAAAACAACTTGCAGAATGTGTTCTAGAACCAGTATTGACTCATTAGATAGTACTGGCCAATGATAATTGATGTTTTAAATAATGACCTTGAGATACCACAAGAGCCTTAATCATCTAAGGAAGTTTAAATTATGTTAGTATAAGGTACTTGCTTAGCCAAGGAAGCATACTAATATAGTTTAATGTTGATACAAATATTACCAACAGACATTGACCCAAAAAAGTCCTGAGCTAACCCCCAGTTAATCAGAAAACATAACAGACAAGAGTGTTGAAAGGTATCTCCCAGAGAACTGAGGTTTTACCATTAGTTCTCTGCACTTGACATTCAGTACCTAAATGGTGTTGATTAAAATAACCTCAGAATGTGGACAGGATTTAGCTTAAAACTTGCCAGTCTGCAGTATAGCACACAATTCTTGGGCAGCCAGTCTTCATCTGTTTTGATTAAAGCACTGCTCTTTACTGAGCAAATTCTGTTGCCTTGTTCATACAAGACTATTTCCTTGGAGCTGAGATTTACTTTTGTGGTTGAAATCCAGTTAATCAATCAGCAAGTACTATGTGCCAGGCACTGGACTAGGCACTGAGGATGCAAATACAATAAACGAAACCATCCCAATGAGAGAGGAGATGGGGAGCTACATGGGTGTAAATAGAATAAATATAAATAAAGGAGCACAGGTAAATGCTAAGTAGTTAAATACAAGGTAGTTTGGAAGAAAGGGTACTCGGGATCGGTCGAAGGCATCAGAAGGCTTAGTGCACAAGGTGATGGCTGGTCTATGCCTTAGATGAAAAGAACTGAAGGTCTCAGTAAGAATGAAAAATAGATTTCAGAGGAGAAGCTCAGTAAATTGCCTTAACAGAAAGAAATTCCACCAGACAGGTCCATAAAGGAGTTCCCTTATAATGGCCTTACTTAACAGATCTCTAGGGGCAAAGCTGAATTCATTTCAGACACCGGTATGTTAAAAATCTTTTGGTTTATTCTCAGAAATGAAGTCTCCAGGTTCTAGAAAATAGATCCTGGAACATTCAAAGGATTGACTTTCATCTGAACAACATACTAAGAGTCCCACTTCACTTTGGATTTCGCATAAACAGAATAGCGTTTATAAACAGGCCTTTGAAGATTATAAATGTTTTTAATCAGATGCTATATAGAATATGTATACATCCAGAAAATTCCATTATTAGTATAAAATTTTATCAGCATGTTTTAAAGAATAATCTGCACTGTTGCCTCAAAAAATATTTTTAAATACCTAAATGCAAATGATAATATAAAAAAAAATTCATTTCTGAGCCCTAAAATTTCTCATTCGGCATCTCTGTCAGCACTAATAATGGAAATTATTTGTTAGTATTTGTGAGTTATTTATTAGCATTAGCTAATAAAGGTTGTCTAGCCTTGGAGACCCTTGCAGAATTACAGAAAAAGAAAATATTAAGATCACAAATTTGGGACATGGGCCAATCTCCCATCGATCATTCTGTGCAGAATTCCTTACATTACAATATGATCGCCTTTTGTGAGTTAATAGATAAATAATTAACAATGTGAATGTTAGTTTTGGTCATCTAACTTCTTAAAAAAATGTAGAAACATACATATTTCATTGTTAGCAAATTTGTATCTCAAAACTAACATTTGCCGTTCTCCATCATAGTTTCTTTTGAAGTGAATTTGACACCTTGTCACATTGCTAATTATATCACAAGAATATCTTAGCATGTTAATAGAGAATGTGCCTCTTAAGGCAAGTGCTATTTACTATTCCAGAGAAACAATTCTGATCACTTCTTGAGGTCCTCATGAAATTATTTCTGCTCAATAGAATTCTTAAGGAACGTAAGCTGATCTGTAGGGAACAAGGACTATTCTTGCCACTTTCTTAGAGGTCCACCATGAAATACAAAGAAAGCAGATTATCCGTAGTCATGCAAGCTAAGTTAATGTGGAAAAGCAGGCCTTGCTCTTCCAAGGTGATGTGTTTTAACTGCACTTTTAGGTGTCTCATAAAAAAAATGGTCATCAAGGAGAAGAAACTAGACTCCAGCTTGAATCTATTCCTGGTACCACCATTAGCACTTGCAGTCTTAGTTCATTCGGATTTTGTGGTTTGGGGCCTACATTTCTCACATGGTGATAGCAGTGTTGACCAGCTATCTACTATGTAGAGGATCTTTGTAACGGTTAATGAATTAATGTTTATTAAGTAGCTTGAGGTCTTCAAGAATAACACCTCTGATCTGCCGCATCATTTTCCAGTCACTGCCAGAGACAGGATACCTCTGGTACTTAGGATGTGGTTTCAAAGCAATTACCCTTGGTGGACAGTCATTTGAGCCCTCGACATCTGGTCTCAAAAAGCAATTCCCCATAGTAAATTCTAGGGCAAGAAACAATTGCCAACAGAAAGCCTAAATAGGATTTCGATGCTATTCAGGGACACATTTCTTATAACTGCCACTATCTGTCATCTTTTTCCCTCTAATAGGGGAGTTCATCAAGGCTCTGTATGAGTCAGATGAGAATTGTGAAGTGGATCCCAGCAAATGTTCATCCAGTGAACTATTTGACCACCAAAGCAACCTAAAAATGTGCTGTGAGCTTGCATTTTGCAAAATCATCAATTCTTACTGGTGAGCATATGGACATCACTTTTTGCTTAGATGACTTAATTATTTGCATATAAAAGTAACTGTAGTCTTTTTTTATCTCCCAACTAAAGAAATGGATTGTATCATATACTAGTTTATGTGTGTTTATGTTTAATTGGGATTTTCTTTTTTTCCTCCGCAGTGTTTTCCCCCGTGAATTGAAAGAAGTGTTTGCATCTTGGAAGCAGCAGTGCCTGAACCGGGGCAAGCAAGATATCAGTGAGCGTCTCATCAGCGCCTCACTGTTTCTCCGCTTCCTGTGCCCAGCTATCATGTCCCCCAGCCTTTTCAGCCTTATGCAGGAATATCCTGATGACCGGACATCTAGGACTTTGACGCTCATTGCCAAGGTTATTCAGAACCTTGCAAATTTTGCCAAGTAGGTGATGATGACATAATGACATCTTTGAAGGATTAAAGTTTAAAAAAAAAAAAGAGGAGCAGGAAAGAGAAATATTAGTCATTTACAAAACTGATTACAGGCTACCTCGGTATAGAGAGGAATTGGCCAAATCCTGGAAGGATCAGATTTCTTATGGAAAAGATTCTTTTCCATGTATACATGCGTGTGTGTGTGTGTGTGTGTGTGTGTGTGTGTGTATGTGAGAAAATTTTCCAGAAGGGCACCACTGCTGCTGTAGTCTGTTCACTTATGCTTACACACACAGGCACATGCCATTACTTAAAGCTGATCTAAATCTAATCAAAGTTGCAACACCATTAAAAGATTCCCATTAAATATCAATTCTTAGCTATTCATGTGTATTGTAAAGTATTGTACAGAAATGTGTATAGGAAGCTCCATAATTGATTTATTCTGTATTAGTATTTATTGAACATGTACTAAGCACCCAATGTCATGGTAGGCCCTATGGAAGCGTTCCCAAGGAGTCCATAATCTATCTGGAGAGAAGGCACAGTGTGATTTCTGAAAGGCATGAAACCATATGCATGACATATGTATGATATAGCCAATATAAGTACTGCTAAAAGAGTTTAAGAATATGAGAAATTGATGTGGGCTGGTGTAATTGTGGTGAGCTTCATGGAGGAAATAGGACTTTGAAGGATAAGTAAAATTTGGCTGGATGAAAAGGTGGAGAAAGGCATCTCTGGTTTGCAAAACAGCACTAGCAAAGAAAGGCATGAAGGAGGGTAGTAGTAGTAGCAGTGGTAGTAATACTTACTGTGATTTAAGGTTTGCAAAGGCTTTACCTGTGCTGTCTTATTGGACCCTCACAGCTACCCTTTGAGTTAGTGAGTAACAATAAAAAGAGTGATGGAGATGGAGAATAAAGGACTTTGGACTTAATCCTGGCATCAGTAGAAAACCACGGAAGACTTTTGAGCAAGGAAGTGAGATGATGAAAGTGATATTTTAAGAAGATATCTCACTTTCCCTGAGGATGTGCCTTTTTATTCCCTTTTTCACATGTATATTCTATGTAAAAATTAGTATCTTTCTTTTCCTTTGCTTCAGGTTTGGTAACAAAGAGGAATACATGGCTTTCATGAATGATTTCTTAGAACACGAGTGGAGTGGAATGAAACGCTTTCTGCTGGAGATTTCTAACCCAGACACCATCTCAAATACTCCCGGCTTCGATGGCTACATTGATCTGGGCAGAGAGCTTTCGGTTTTGCATTCCTTATTATGGGAAGTTGTTTCCCAGCTTGATAAGGTAAAACAGGCTGGAAGCATAAAAGGGGGAGATGGGAGATGTGGAAGCTTAACGTCCCTGAATACTGGAAATCCAGGGCATGAGGTAGCGCTCCATTTCAGTGCTGGCTGAAAAGTTAACATTTGGCCCAGTGGTTCTAGGGGTAAGCAGGTTTGTAAATAGAACGATTCACGCTCAATATCTAACTGCACTTACTGTGTATGATACAGTGTTCATTTTCCTAAATCTTAGTAGACAAAAGAAATAGAGGTGCAAATAAGAAAGCTGTTTGAGAAACAATACATAGCAGTTAGTATGTGCATTTGTAATAGTGTCCTGATATTGGTGAAATAATGTAAAACGTTCCTACAACCTTGTATCATGTGTAAGAGTAGATCTAGAAACTTGTGAAAGTTATAGCTTGCTGGCTTTGGTCCTTCAGCAAACAGATATCAAATATTCGATCATGTGGTCTAATTCGCACATAATAGAATGAATCAAGACCACATATAATTATTTCCAACAAAAGTGCTGATGTCACAAAAGTACTGAGGAAATTATATTTAGATTAGGATACATTTCCCTGTGCAAGTCAGAAAAATGGCTTTCATAATTGCTAATGCCACAGAGTCCACCTGGGATTTGAAAATCCAGGTGTGTTGTTTCTCCACAGGTGTGAATTAGACACAGAGGAAGCAATCACCATTTTAAGTAATTTCTTCTTCTGATTGTAACCCTACTTGGAGGTTAAAGAAAATTACATTTTCTCCCATTCCTGATTAAATTTTCTATCGTGCCAATCATTTTCCTACCTTTAGGAAACTGGGCAGGAAGAACAATTTCTATAGAGGAGAATAACCCAATAGATTTTGGTTATCAATAAGGCTTGTGTTTGCATCTGTTTGCCGCAGATATGATGTAAATATGGTGGTATGTTAGAATAATTTTCAAAAACAAACATGTACTTTTTTATGATGAAGATCTGTGGAGTTATTTTCCAGCTATACTTGAACATTTTGTACCTTGGATGCAAAATTAAGATACCTTGGATGGGATAATTTATTTACAAAGACCATTTTCCTGGGGCCATTTAAGTGATAGTTTGTGTGGCAAGATCCACAAGGCATCCCCTGTGCTCTGGAGCTGCCTTGTGGCTTTCACATCTGCCCAAGTATGTCTGAAATTTTAGCTACTGAGTAAAAAGGATCAGGAGACAAAACATGGCTCAGGAGAAGAGAAAGAGGAAGCCCGGCCTTCACATGACACGTACCCATTTGAACAGTATGGAGGAGTATATTGACTCCTCAGAGCAGGAGTTCTTAGCTTGGGATCCACATACTTGGGTTTTTTAAAAGATCTTGATGGCTGTATTTCACTATAATAGGTTTCCTTTGTAATCCTATGTATTTTTATTTTATGCATTTCAAAGCTTATTCTGAGAAGAGTCTGTGAAGCAAAAGGCGAAGAAACTCTGGCTTAAAGCATAGACTAAAACTAAAGGAGTTCATTTTAGCTTGTCTTGATCCCTATTAAGGTCACCGCCTTCAACAACAATCCATAGGTCCTATTTCTTGATAACAAGCATTCTTGAAAAAGATTAAGAGAAAGAAAGCAAAAAATAATCAGTGGAGTATGGAATATTTTGTGCAACAGTATTAGCTTAGTCTGGATGATCTTTTAAAATCTTTACTGTGTAAATTTACTTCTTCTGCACTAATAATTAATGATTTAGCCCTAAGAATCTGGGCTACACCTAGTAACATCCCCTGGTTGCTGTTGATATGACCTTGTTGTACAGATATTTGTTTTACTGATGCACATTCAGATGGCAATAGAATAGGGTGCCCAGCATAAAATAGGACATTAAATGTTAATGCCAACCTTGTGGCCCTGCAGTGCTCTCTTGGACCCCTGAATGCAGTACCTTCTTGTATGTTGGCATGCATTTCTTTTCCCACATGACTCCTTAACCTTGGAAGTTCCATTCAGCTAGCTGATCCTCTAGCCCTTGAGTTCCTTTTGATTAGGTGTTTGGTTTGCCTCATTCCTCCAGCCCATCTTGACCTACAGACTTAGTCTGCTTTGCATGCCCGTTTTAAGTTGGAATGGCAGTATGGTTGTATTAAGCATGTCTTTAATTTTTTTTTGCATTAATCCTAATTTCTTTTCTATTTCCTTTCTTTCCTCAATGTTGCTGCGCACCTTGTTTCGTCTCTTCATCTCGTCGCCGTGGTTACGCTGCTCCATAACAATGCCTTATGAACCTGCCACACCCACATGCAAAAATTTACCCTTCCTTCCAACCTTCACCCCTCCATCAATGTGCATCATCCCCACCCCCCAAAAAAAATATGGCGGATGTTCCGATGCTTATTATCCAATCAGGGTGAAAATTCCTTCCTACAGGCGACTGTGGCAAAACTGGGACCACTCCCTCGTGTTCTCGCTGATATTACCAAGTCTCTGACTAACCCTACACCAATACAGCAGCAGCTTAGACGTTTCACCGAGCATAACTCCAGCCCCAATGTCAGTGGCAGTCTGTCCTCAGGGCTGCAGAAGATATTTGAGGACCCCACCGACAGGTATGAAAGAGTGAGGATTTGAACTAAGATATCAAGTGAATTGGTTAAATTCTAGAGAACCAAGTTCTACTTAACTCTGAACAGTCTCTCAATATAAGGGATACTATAAAATGAAGCCGTTAGACTAGCTGCATAGTCTCCAGGGTCCTTTCAGCTCTAACATTGTATGACTTAGTGATTGAAAAGTTTCCTTGAGTGAAGAAGAGGGGCCTTTAGTGATCTTCCCTATCCCCATATTTTATCTATTTCCCAACAGTACTAATTAGATGGTAAATCCCAGAAGAAAATATTTTATCTAGAGCAAATGAAACTTGGGTCCTAATAATATTGAGTTCTAGGTATACATGGATGAGACGGAAGCATAGAAAGGGGGACAGAAGGCAAGACCTAGAAAGTCAGCAGAGAGATTTTGTTCTGTTAAAAAAAATTGGGGAAGAAATGATAACAGGTAAAAATCAAGAGGCTTGGGAGGAGTTAAAGCCATACTTGAATATTAATCAGAAGTACAATAAAGTAATGGGAATAGGATTCAGAAATGTGGGTCTGTCCCTTTGGAGAAAACTACAGCAGTGTAATATATTTTGTCTTCAAAATCAACTGATTATGAAATTCAAATTTGGAGAGAAAAATATGTAAAGAGAATAATTGGTCCCATGAAATTTCAGAGAAGATTGTCACAGCTAGTGTGAATTGCCTGGCTTCTTGCCTTGGTGATAACTTAGAATCTCTTTCTTTTCCACAGTGATTTGCACAAATTAAAGTCTCCAACCCAGGAAAACACAGATAGCTATTTTAGAGGTAAAACATTACTGTTGGTTCAGCAGGCATCCTCCCAAAGCATGACTTACTCAGAAAAAGATGAAAAGGAAAATGGACTTCCTAATGGAAGGAGCATTTCACTTATGGATCTTCAGGACCCCCATGCTACTCAAATGGACCATGCATCCATCATGTTGGATGTGCCCATGCGTTTGACCGGCAGCCAGCTTTCCATAACCCAAGTGGCCAGTATCAAGCAACTCCGAGAGACACAGAGTACCCCGCAGAGTGCACCCCAAGTGAGGAGACCTTTGCATCCTGCCTTGAGCCAGCCAGGCAGCCTCCAACCCCTGTCCTTCCAAAACCCAGTTTATCACCTCAACAACCCCACCCCATCCATGCCAAAGGCCTCGGTGGATTCCAGTTTGGAGAACTTAAGCACTGCCAGCTCTAGAAGCCAAAGTAACAGTGAAGATTTCAAACTCAGCGGCCCCAGCAACAGCAGCCTGGAAGACTTCGCCAAACGCAGTACCCAGAGTGAAGACTTTTCGAGGAGGCACACAGGGCCAGATAGACACATACCTCTTGCCCTTCCACGGCAAAATAGTACCGGGCAAGCACAGATCCGCAAAATGGACCAGGCCGGGCTGGGCGCCCGCGCCAAAGCCCCCCATTCCCTGCCACACAGCACGTCCCTCCGGAGCACAGGAAGCATGTCCATAGCTTCCGCAGCCTTGGTGGCTGAACCTGTTCAGAATGGAAGCAGGTCCCGGCAGCAGTCCTCCTCGTCCAGAGAAAGCCCTGTCCCCAAAGTGAGAGCAATCCAGAGGCAGCAAACACAGCCGGTAGGAGCGGACTTGAATGTGGTTTTTGCTGTGATCTGTTCAGTCTAGTAGCTAGGTTATCAGGGAATCCAATTGAAAAACAGGGTGCTTGCTTGGTGATAGTTTCTGCTGACTCTTAATGTAAAAAAAAAAAGTTAAACTAGATTGTGTCTGGGTAAAGAAAAGGAGGCTTAGACCCAAAAAGAAAAACTGAGCGCAGTTTCACTCATTGCCTTTCAGGACTGAGTGGGCCCTGCTGCTTTACAAACAGTCATGTCCTACCATGGTGGTCAGTCAGGTGTGTGGCACAAAGGGAGTCATGGGACGTTCTGAGGAGCTAGCAGGCCGGCTCAGTTGTGTAAACTTGCAAGTAGAGGCCTCACCTTCTTAATTTTCCCTCAAGCTTCTAGGAGTAGAGTGTGCATCTGGAGAGTCCTATTTGTTCTGTTGGGTCCTGCCTTCCTTCAAAGCTCCCTCTGGAAATGCCAGAGGCCCCTTGAGCTTTTTCCTGGAAGTGGTAAGAAAAACAAACAGCTGAACACAAAATGACAACGGTAATGAGTCAGGGTGGTGAAAATTAAAGAAATAACGTGTGGTTGGACTCTAAGAATTTTCAAACCACTGCTATTTCTCGACATGGGCTTAGCCCAAGAAATGGTCACACCCACACTTAATGTGCTGAAAACTAAGAGAACTGCTACCCTTGACTGTTAGCTAACACACCCAGTCTGTTCATGTTCTTTACAGTTTGAATCAATAGGGCATATTTTACTATTTGAAGTAAGTTAATTACCTGGAAAATACAGGTCCATGTTGCTTTTTTTTTTAATTTTTAGGCAATTGGGGTTAAGTGACTTGCCCTGGGTCACACAGCTAGTAAGTGTCAAGTGTTTGCTCTGAGGCCGGATTTGAACTCAGGTCCTCCTGACTTCAGAGCTGGTGCTCTATTCACCGCGCCACCTAGCTGCCCCTCTGTGTTGATTTTTAAAAGAGATATGCTCCTGAAGAATTTTGTACAATTTTTTTTTCTGTTTAATCCTATCTTAAAAGATGTTAGGAGAACTGAGAATTCCATGACAACTCATTTCGTAAAGTCAAGAACGCTTTTTTATAAAGCAAATAAATTAATATTGAAAAAGTCAAGGGGCAGCTAGGTGGCACAGAGCACCAGCCCTGGAGTCAGGAGGGCCTGAGTTCAAATTCAGTCTCAGACCAGACATTTGACACTTACTAGCTGTGTGACCCTGGGCAAGTCACTTAACCCCAATCACCTCTCCAAAAAAAAAAAAAAAGAAAAAGTCAACACTTATACCCTCTCAAATCCATACAACGAACCCTTATGTTATTTGCTTGTAAATTGTTATTTAAAATACAGGCAGTTTTGTTTGACAGACATGTTTAAAATTTGGGGTTGTTTAGAGATTTTATGAGTTCAGACATGATAGAAGAGGGAAAGAACTGAGAATCAGGGAAAGAAGAAGGGGAGAAGAGGGATGGGACCGATTCCCCAGCAAGCCAACCCAGCAAAGTAGAGCTCCTCCAGTGGTAATCTTGGGGCAGCATTAGGGCACTAACCGGGGAGGACCACCAGAAAGAAGAAGGGGGGGAAGGACCAAAGACCAATTTGATCTTCCTTAAGATTTTGCTTAGATCTAACAGAGAGGAAACATTTCTGCTGATCCTTCCTCCTAAACCACAGGAACTTCTCTTCCCAGGACCCCATACTATTAGTACTACATGTAGTTCAGCAACTTAATAAGTTAAATATGCATTGGTGGACCTGTAGAGAACATAACCATTATCTATAACAATTAGCTTGCACACAAACTTTTGGTCACACAACCCGCTGGTGAGTTAGAAACAGCCCACAATTATCTTTCTTGCCTGTTCCCTACTCCCACTGCTATTTCAGTTAGGGTCAGGGTTAGCATGTTGGGTCAGGGTCAGGGTCAGCTCTACAGTAGATGTGCTTCTTGTGGGAGGACTGATGTGGTCCTCTGGTGAGGCATTTTGTGACACTCATTAAGGCATTCCTCTGCTTTTGTTCTTTAACCACTCCTGCCAGCCTCATTAGTTGATGAATGAATGAATGAAAATGAATGACAAAGCATTTATTAAGCACTTACCCGTGCCAAGTGTGGTCCCTGCAATTTGCTTGCTGAAATTCCCACTCATCTGTCAACCCTGTCTTTTTCTACCCAACCTATTTATTTCCTGTTTCCCAAGTCACTTCGGAATATTGGGGGGGGGGTGTTTTTAATCTTTTTCTTTCTTGCTTACTGTTTGCTCTCTTGTGGAATCTCCAGAGTTCTGTAGTCAGCATTTTTTCCAAACAAATTCCTCTACATATTTTTAATTGCAAATTATGTTAGGGAATTCTTTTCTCTCTGAAAGTGGAGGATTCCTTTGTGGGGTTTTGTTCTGTGGGTGGCTGTAATTATCGGCAGTTTTGTCTCTAGCAAGTTCTACTTACTCCTCAGCACTGAGCGGTAACTATTGTTTGGCTAGGATTTACTGGCTTCAGTCTTTTCTATTTAGTAAGTAGGAGGGGAACAAAATTTCTAGGGAGAGTATTCCAGTGACAGAATTTTTGTCCTTAAGATTCTGTACTTCACCCTTGTTCTTAAGAGAACTGTTTTCTAGTATTTGGACCTTATGTTTCCATGAGCCCTTCTAGGAGTTCTTTTTTCATTTTTGTCCCTGTTTTTCCCCTGACATTTTATGCATCATTTACACATAAAGTGGTATTTTCTGTTTTAAATGTGTCAGTTGTTCGTATTTAACATACAACCTAAATTTAGGGTTTGAAACTTGATATACACCACTGACAAAACAAATGAAGTTTTTCCCTTTGGGCATTTGAAACTATCCCAAATTCAAACTATTCAGAGACTCTTTTCACTGATTATTATATGTGTTTAATTAGGGACCTTACATTCCTGTTTTTGGCAGTGAGGTTTACTTACATGTACAAACCAGACCTGTTCCAAGCTTGTCAAGAAGCTGAAACTAACTAGTCTTTCTTACGTCTAGTAAATATCATCAAAGAACAGAGAAGCCTCTTGTTCTATGGCTCTTATTATGGCCAGGGTATGACTAATGGTATCAGTCAAAGTGCTGTATAGAGGACTGTCAGGTCCTCATGCCCTAAATCTTTCTCTCGTTTTTTCACAGGAAGAAGTCTATATGGTCTTGTAAGTTTTAACATCAATTATCCCCAGTTTCTTTGACTGTAAACTAGGATATCAGTTTTTGCTACCTGCTTGTCTTAAAAAGGAGTTGGAAGACAACATTTTCTATTCATTTTTACATAATTGGACAAATAAATCACTTAGGAGCATCCTGGCACCAATCAACAAGCATTTACTATGAGTATATTAATGTAAACTACAAAAAATTTAAAAATACAGGCCTGGCCCCAAAGAAATTTGTTTGGAAGATGCAGTTTATGTTGGTGAAACAATTAGAGAAAGATAGGGCAGTATTTAATTAGAAACCACATTGTATGTACAGACTTAGATAAGTACTTTAAAGAGTTCAGAGAAGAAAAATAAACTTCAGGAGCCAAAATAATCAGGGAAGCTTGCATGGAGGAAACAGAGAATGAGTTAGGCCTTGACAGATGAGAAGTGTTTAGGAGAGTGGTCTACCTTGTCCCAAAAGTCAGAAAAGGAAGAAATGAATGTGAATTTCGAAGAAGATAAATTAAGTCTTGAGTAAGGAAAAAAACTTTTCAACCATTGGAGCAATTCAAAAGTATGATGGGCTTCCTTGGAAGGCCATGGATTCTGTCTCACTAGACAAAAGACTAGATGACAACTTGTTAGGTGTGAGTCAATTACAGCTTTGTGATTGTGTGAGGACTTGCAAGTAAAAAGATGAACAAAAGCATGGAGTCCAAATGAGCATTTTGAGTGCGAGGGGAATAATTAAGATTTGTAGGAAGTAGTGAGAAATACAGTTGAACAGGTGGGAACTCCCAGTACCTTTTATATAGTCTCTTCAGTTGATCTGCTGGATGCATGGATTGATAGAACCATTTTTTATCCAGAAAGCTGTATTTTACCATTCAATGAGAGTAACAAACCAACCTTGGTTTTTAGTTTCCTCTTGAGTGACCCAAACCTTTGGCCTACTTAACCACTAAGTTTCTAATGTATCTTCTACATTACTATCCTATCCCATCCAGTTTTTCTGGTGCATTGCACATACCTAGTAAATAATCTCAGTGATGAGATGATTATCCAGCTAGTCTTGGTTAATAAGGTAAAGAGGAAAAGTTATTGAGTTGGAATAGGAATTGTTATTGGTTTGAGCAGTCACTCTGTTTCAAAAACTTTTTACAAATATTGTTATATAGAATAGCTTAGTACAGTACCTGACACGTTGTTGAGTTGTTCAGTAGTGACTGACTCTTCATGACCCCATGGACCATACTGTCCATGGGGTTTTCCTGGCAAAGATACTGGAGTGGTTTGCCATTTCCTTCTCAAGTGAATTTAGGCAAACAGAGGTTAAGTGACTTGCCTGGGGTTACACAGCTAGTAAGTGTCTGAGGCAGGAACTGAACTCAGTTATTCCTGAGGCCAGTGCTCTATCCACCCAGCAGCCTACTCCTGGCGCATAGTAGGCACTTAATAAATGTTTATTGACTGACCAGCTCTCTCAGAGGTAGCAGGGGAAGGGATACTCAGAGAAATTTAGATGTTAAAAATAAAACAAAAGATATTTTAAAATGTATTATAAAAAAACCTTTTTACTAGGAAAATCCCACAGTAACTTAGCAAAGCAGCTAGTAAAAAGCAGTCCTTAGGTAATGGAGTGATGGTTTTAAAACTAAGGAAGCATTTATCTTTTAAAAGTTTCCCTGACCTTGAAATTGTCCTTTTAAAAAGGAAAACTCGTGGACACTACCACCCTTTCACCTTCCAAATCTATACGTGTATAAAACAGAAACTGTAAATCCCATGACTTTAAAGCAGTTTGGTGCGTATTTCTGCAAAACCAGTAGCGGGAAACATGCAGTTTACTATCATAGTGAGACGCTGGTCCTGGGTGCCACTGGTCAGACCATAAGGTTTAAGACCATTTAATTTGGTGCATTTGTTTTCTTAAGGTAGTGAAAGAAATGGCTTTTAAGGAGGATTATCGGAGGACCACTCACTAAGCTTAGAAAGGCCTGCCTTTTCAGGCATGAAGTTATGCTGCCAACAAAGATTGTCAGAACACAAGAGCTCTATTTTTAAAAGTCTGGTCAACCGGCCTAAGCAGCATTTTCTCCTGGACCTTGGAGGGCCTTGTCACCAAAAGACATTTCAGTGTCTCTTCTTTCCTATCTTTTCCCCAGCCCATTTCTGATAATTCATTTTTAAGACCAGTGCTCCAGCCCAACTTTAAGAATGAATTAAATTTGGAAGATAATGTAAATTCTCATATTCTCTGTGGAACAGATGGTTCCTTTCACTTGATAGATGAAGAAATATTGATGCCCAGAATAGAAAGCCATCTTGATGATAAAAAAAAAAAAGACTAACCTTTAGATCTTACACCAGGCCTTATTGGCTTGACTCCAAAGAAACAAAACCAGATCTGCTACAGAATATTTGAAAACAGTGTGCAGTCAGCTCTTTGAATCTTGCTTTACATTTTCTGTGAAAGTCTGTTACTTTCAGTATAGTAGCCAAAATGCTACAGACCCTTAGGCCAATGAACAACATTTTAAGGGTTAAATCTTTTATTTGAGGAGGAAGCACAGGCTACATATCTGAATTAATTGGAATAAAAATCTATTCAGCCAGTTGTGTTCTTGTACAGATAGGTATTCCTCCCCACCCATGGTTTTGAATTAATTAATTAATTAATTAGTGAAAAAACATTTCTTAAGCTCCTACTATGTGGCAGGTGCCAGGGACACAAAGACAGAAATAAAAATATTTCCTGTCCTCGAGGAATTTACATTCTGTTGGCTGGGGGAAAGAGGTTTTTTTTCTGGGGAGGCAGTAGAGTGGTGAGTGACCCCATTCCTTTTCAGAACCAATTGTAGGATTGATTTGATTACTGTTTGAAAAGCCAGAGGTTACTAGAGTGGAGGTAGTGCAGGTGGCTAAATGTTCAGGGTAGGTAGATGTGAGGTGTGGTCTAGGGCCAGCTAGATGTAGCTCTTTAGGCAAGTTTGCATTTAATTACTAGTCAGTTAAACTCAATCCTAGGAAAAGTTCCAAGCTGGGCACATTATCTCATTCAGGGAGGGAGTCTTGTCTCTGGTGGGGAGCATAGGGCAATAGCAGCATGGGTGGCAGGATGTTTGGGGTCAATAGATGTGAAGCATGGTCTGTGACTATTTAGATATCCTTTAAGCAAGTTTGCTTTTGAAAGAATATTATTTAGAACCAGAATCACAGTGACACATTTAGCTAAGAGAAAAAAGTAGAGAGACTGAAATGGAGTGGATCAGTTATTTCTTCTAAGAAGAAATGCTAAATATTGGTAATCTTTGGAAAATCCTTATGATTATTTCTGATGCAGGTTCAGTCACCTGTAGACTCTGCCACAATGTCTCCTGTGGAAAGGACAGCAGCTTGGGTTCTGAATAATGGGCAATATGAAGAAGATGAAGAAGACACTGAGCAAAATCAAGATGATGTCAAGCATGCAGAGAAGGTAGAGTCTAGTGTGTATCCCTCCTGACCTGATTACCCTGAGAACCATTGGCTCTGAGCATATATGTAAGGTCTGAGGCCAAGATTATATACTCAAAACTTTGTATCTCTGCAGAGAAACACCACATTTCACATTCACAGACTGTACATTAACCCTGAGCCACTGTATCACAAATGGCGCACCACTGGTTCTGAAAGAGAGAGAGGGAGCGTGTGAATGACTCAGTGAAAACCATCATTACTAACTGCTTGAAAAACAGTCATCTCACATCTTATGGGTGGTAGGTTGGTAATGTCATCTTTATGTAAGAGAGCTAGGACTGATGGGCAGAAGTTAGAGGGAGCTACCTTCCCATGGTGACTTCTTACGTAGTAGAGATGTTGCTTCTTCATTCCACCCTCCCTTGCCCCCTTATCTACTGAAGATAAATTTACTCATTAAACATTTTATTGTATTTTATGTTCTTATAACAAGTTATAGGGAGGCAGTTTTCAACCCAGTGCAATAAATAACTTCCCAACATTTCAAGCTCCCTGAAACTAGAATGCATCATGTCATGGAGAGCTGTGGGCCCCTATTACTACCAGTGTTTAGGGACAGCCATGAATTAACCTCTCCATTAGGGATGATATAAAAAAGATTCAACTCCCAGAAGGAGAATTGGACTAGATACATGAAATTCCATTCTATTGCTCAGCTTTAATATCCACACATTGAAGCCCTCTCGATCTCACTGCCTTTGACACCCATTTACACTTTGTTTATGCCATTCTGCTACCTGTTTCCATTCATTTTATGTTAATTTTTAGTGTTTGGACAAGGCAGTTCAATTTAATGAAGCAATTCAGCAAGCATTTATTAAGTGCCTGCTGTCTGCCAGGTACTGAATTAGTGGGGAGAGAGAGAGAGAGAGTGGGGAGATCTATGAGGGATATACAAAGACAAAAGTAAAATAAGGCAACCTAGAAAATAAAGTACAAAATATGTATTAGACCTGGACCCAGAAGGAGGGCATGGAAGGGCGTAGGTCTAATATGTTGTAAGGACCAAAATGGGGTAACATACTGTACGGCACTTTGCACATTGTAAAATGTTGTCTGAATGTTAGCTGTCGTTTTATTGTTGTTCTTGTTAGCCATGGCAGGACAGTTCAAAGACTTGTAACTAGGTGATTCATGTACAGGCCTCTTCCCCTTGTGGATATCTGACTTTTTACACATTTTCAGTGATTGGTTAAACAGGCTTTTATGAGATTGGACAATATCTTTGTTTCCATCTGAATACTGGACTAAAATTAGATGCAGCTTGTAGAAACTAGTTGGTTAAATTTGAAAGAGATGGGGAGCTCTAGAATGCTACAAAATTACATGAAGGCAGCTGGTGGTGCACTGGATAAAATGCTTGACATGGAGTCAGGAAGACCTGAGTTCAAATCCAGTCTCACACACTTACTAGTTGTGTGACCCTAGGTAAGTCACTTAACCTTTGCCTCAATTTCCTCGATTGTAAAATGGGGATCAATAATAGCACTTACCTTATAGCATCATTGTGAGGATCAACTAAGATCATATTTGTAAAAAGCCCTTAGTATAGTAGGTGCTTTGTAAATTATTTTCCCTTCTCTTAACTATATCATCAGGAGATGGGCCATACTACATTAACTTCAAGTCTGTGGTCAGCTTTAGCAGCTCCAGAGTGGACAGTGTAACTGCAGGAGCTGAATGTTGTCTTTCTAGTCTCTCAGAAACAAACATAACTCTAATTCACCTCTCCCCTCCCGTGCAATTGTTCGTCTTCTGCTGTAGTATGAACAAGAGATCGCCAAGTTGAAAGAACGCCTGAAAGTGTCGAGCAGGAGGTTGGAGGAATATGAGCGAAGGCTCCTGGTGCAGGAGCAGCAGATGCAGAAGCTGCTGATGGAGTACAAAGCCAGACTAGAGGACAGCGAGGAGCGTCTACGCAGACAGCAAGAAGAGAAAGACAGCCAGATGAAAAGCATCATCAGCAGGTGAGGGAGAGAGAGTCGGGGGCAGCGGCAGCAGACGACCCATGTTAGTGTTGGAACAAACACTGGATCAGATTTCAAAGGAAAAGAAAAAATCCTTTTTTTTTTAAATCCCCTTTCAACTGCATTTACATGCAGTGTTCACCTGCTGTGGGCGTCCAGCGCCTGCCTCTTGACTCATGATGCTTTCCAGGTGTGAAGCTCCCTAGAAAGCCAGAATTGTTCTTTTCATTTTCTAAAATACATTTTCTTTAAAATGAAAGAAAACAACTCATGAAGTGACTCCCCTGAGAGGTCACAAAGGAGCAAGGCTCAGAACAGTCTCAGAATTCTCCTGCTTTGGTAGTTAGCCTTCACTTGGGAGGAGAATCTTTGGATCAGGAGAGCCAGCTAGCTCTCTTCTTGTTTTATAAACATCTTTACAACCCAAATGCCTTGGAATTTGGCGTGATCTTCCTGAAGCCACTTCTATTGTCTTTATTCGCTCTGGTTGTGTCCACAGAGAAAAGAGTGGCACTCTTTATTTTAAAGGGAGTAACAAAGGAGTGGTGTAAGGGGGAGTATTTTGAGGAATAAGTACTATTGTCTCTCATTTTATGCATTACCTGTTTTCTTCTTTGATTATGTGAATGTTCTCTTCTTGACGTATTTCAGGTTAATGGCTGTTGAAGAGGAGTTGAAGAAGGATCATGCTGAGATGCAGGCAGTTATTGATGCAAAGCAGAAAATCATTGATGCACAGGTAAGAGGGCTTTGCATCTGACTGTGAGGCATCTGTTTACAGTAACTTTTATTCCCTGTCCTTCCACCCCATGCAAACGCCAGGGCAAATGCTGAAGAAGTTGTTAAGAAGCTGCTGACAGTTATCTCTTTTCAACCCTAAAGGGACATTGGTTGACTACATGACCTGCATTATTTTTTCTGCCCTGTACTGGAGAGTAATCCTTTAATAGAGCCCCCCAGCACTAGTGTACTTGGGGCAGTTACCCCAGAAATCTGTCCTTGTGCGTGATGAGGTTGGCTTCTTTTCTTATGGAAGTAGCCAGATCCCCAGGGTGTAAAGAGGACAAGTGACCTGCATGTGTCTGGCTTGCGACCTCCACTGACCCTTGCTTGGCTGTCAAGTTCACAATCTTGTGAGTTATGTCCACCGTGCCATAAACCGTTAGCCCGTGGCAAACTCAGGATAGCTGGGGCAGATTAGTCTAACCGGAACCCCTGCTCTGCGCTGCTGTCTCCCCAGCCCTGTGTTTGGCAGTGCTCTTTGGGATCAGCTTGGCTCCCATTCTTTCTTGGTGCTCTGCTTAAAGGACATCTTTTGGTAACCCTAAAAGACATGAGGTGGTGAAATCACCAGTTGGATCCCTGCCCACTGTGGCCTGTTCCTGGGATGCTTATGGGATAGAGGCTGCCAAGAGCACCTCCCATGCGCTACAGAACATCTGTACTCAGAGGAAAAGCTGGGAGAGAGGAAATACTTCTCACTTGCCACTTCCTTTTTTTATTTTCAGTGCAAGGAATATTTTCTCTAAAAAGCAGGTGCAGTTTTGGTAATTGCTGCTCTGGCAGCTGGAGACTGTTATCTCTCTGAGAATGCTTCAGTCAGCTTTGCATTTCTCACATGCCAAGCCCATCCTAGGACTAGGTTAGAAACACACATATCATCACGTGTGTCACTGAGCTGTGAAATAAAAATATGAGCATGGCTTAATATATGCTCCAGATCTCCTGCCCCCTTCTGAGCAGCCCTCCCTGTTTAGGCTCCTAGAAGATTCCAACCTTCTTCCATTTTCGGTATAAAACACACAGGGAAAGTATATCCATTCGGGACTCCTCATAAGGTCACTTATGTAATTTGGAGTGTGAAGTTTCAAACGCAACCTGTTTTTCCCTAAGTAAGACATTCACATGATTGGAGAGTCAGGTTGAAAAGGTAGTTTGTGGGTGGAATGCTTTGTAGTTGGGTATTCACCATGTGTCTTCTAGCTCTCCCTCAGGCAGTGAGTGGCCACCAGTGTATAATCTGAGGGGATGGGTCAGTGTGTTTCCTTGTCATCAGAACAGTTCCCCTAAGTGTTCTGAACCCTGAACTCTGCAGTGAACCAATGGTTAGAGCTCTGATTACTCAGAAGAGAAGCTTGGCGCAGTTATTTTATTTGAAGTCCTTGTTTATCTTGCCAAATCAGCTTCAGAAACCAGCAACAGCCACCTTTGTCAATCTCATTCTGTAGCAGAGACAAGCAGATCAGAGGCCTACGGAAAGAAGTCAGGGTCAAGAAAGCAAAACTGTGTCAATTTTGCAGCCAGGTCTGAGATGTGGGTTGGTCACAGAAATCACCTGTTCTTGTACAGAGTAGTTCTTTGCTCTCAATTGACTTAATGAGGGTAATTCATCATCTGTTTCTGAAGATACCTTCTCCCCATTCCAATCTCTAGGGCTTAGTGTGTGGTTATACATGAAGAGTAACACACAGAAAAGGTTAAAGGGAAGGAAATATGAGTTTTGGATCCTGACAGCTATGAAGATAGCCATTTAGAATCTGCCCCAAGATCATTAAAAGGGCATGGGAAGGCGAGCAGAAGGTCTCAAAGTGGAGAAATGAATGAATTGATCTTTTGTGCAATACCAAAACTGGAGAAGAGTTCTGAACCAAATTTAAGTGTTATATTAGTGAGTTTTAGAACTTCTTTTTGCCAAGGGCCATTTTAATGATCTCAGCTTTAACTTACAGCTTCCCCTTCCAAAGCATCCACCCGAGCTGTTTCCTCTTAAGCCAGGACAGGGGGATGCTACTAGGGGTGGGAGAACCATGGTATAAACCTCACTCATTAAAATTAGTGAGATAAAATGGCACTGGTTCTTAAGATACACCAATTAATTGAAATCTTATTTTTGATAAATATAAGTAAATTACTAATTCATGACAGAAATCAAAACATAAATAGATAAAATAAAATCATAGAATCTGAGTTGGAATGGAATTGAGAAATCACTATATGAAGTCTCTGCCCAATATGTTAATTTCTAAAAACATTAATTCTACAAGAAGACCAGCTTGTGAAGCCCCTAAAAGGTACTTGGAGGTCGCAGTAGCTCCTGAGCTATATTTTGACAACTACTTTATGCAGAGGCCAAATGCTCTTGTTATAAATGCCATTGCAAAGACAGCTTCTGTGAATAACAGACATTTTCAAGTTGATGGTCTTGTCTTGTAGAAGAATTACAGATTTATAAAAAGAATTGGGACTATCCCATGGGGTTGTCTGTAAAGGTTCTTGTGTACTGATACCTTCCTTAAATTAATTCCCTCAGAAAAAGTTACCCACACCATCAACTGCATTCCAAAGCTTTGCAAGAGTAAGTAAATCATCTCTTCTGGCATCAGCATCAATGGTAGAATGTAAACTCCTGGAGGTCAAGACCTACTTCCTTTTTGTCTTTGTCTCCCTAGTACAGTGCCTTGCATGTATACTAGGGACTTGATATTTATCGAACTGAACAGACTCTTGTTGAATTGAAAAATTGTTTGGGGATGAAAATGTCCTGTGGAGGTGAGCAATACTGTGTAATATCTGACATTTACCTTGATGTCCCTCAGGCAATGTTCCCAGTAGTATAAAGAGAGCACCTACATAGGTAAGAGTCTTACTTAGGCTGGGGACACACCACTGCCCCAAAACTCCATTGGGCACATGTCTAGGAAATTAGCTGATATCCATGTTTGTCTTTTATCTCTTTTGGTAACCATCTTTCACCCACTCTGTGCTTCAATTGCCCTGCAGTCCTGTCAAAAAGGCTTGGGTTCAGATCCTAAGTTCGGCTTCCCTCTCCACAAATCAGTCGGTTCTACTAGACCTGTAGTATGAGTTGGTCAGACCATCTTGTTACTGAAGCAGCATGAGAAGAAGCTTTGTGACCAGACAGTGGAAGGTCCACTTGTCCCTGACATCATCATGCAGGAAATGACGGGATATGGAGAGGACGGCCATGGGCCAGGCATTACTGCCGTCTTTCAACTCCCAGTGTGGGGAGAGTGCACTGTCACACCTGGCACCATGAGGCTTAGTGAGACCCAGGAGGTCCCCACATTCAGCAGTTGGAAAACAGAGGAGCAGGTGCTGCTGTATCACTATCTCAAGTGACATCTCCACTATGTTAAATTACAGGTCATTAATGGGGATGAGATTATTCAGACAGGCAAGTAAACCCAGTGCAGTCCGTTCTCTAGCTGACCAGCACCTAGTCTTGGCCCCGGGCACTGGTCTCCTACGCATTCCGGCTCCTGGCACTTCCCACACTTTAATTCCTCTGGGTCAGGAATGAGTTTATTGTTGTTTCTTCTGAATCCAGACAGAGTTGAGAGTGTTGGAGCATCATCCACCTTCTCAACTAGGCCTTCAAAAATCCCAGTTTGATTTTGGGAATGGGTTCTTCTCACTCACATACGTTCAACTCCTGGGCAAAGGGATTGATTGGGCTGTGCAATTGCCCTTGTTTCCCTGCATAAATATGTTCATTTTCTCCTCTTACTAAGATCTCAGTTCTTGCTACATGTCCTAATTTTTGTTTTATGGGTTCACAGGTTCCAACCTGTACTATGGAAAGAAGTTTCTTCATCAGTGAGATAAAGATCCACCTAAATATTTTATTTTTGAGAACGAGATTTGTGAAATTCAGCCTCCAGCGGGAGAGGATCATGGGCTTCCCAAAGCTAAGCAGAAAGGATTGTTTTTGCCCTTGAATCAATTTAAGCAATATTTTTTGGTCCTATATATTTCCTGACTTTGTAGAAGAGTATTTCTACACTTTGATGACCCTTTATTTCTGGGGACCACTGTGGCCATTTGTCACTAGCCTTTAAAAAGTCTGTATATTTGCAGTTACTCTCAGTGATAACAGCAACAAACCATATCCTTTGTAGGTTTTTTTTTCTCCATCTAGTTTAGTTTAGCTTTGTAAATTGACACTCATCTGTTGCTACAGAACAAATTATAACTCATGGCAGGGTAGTAATGCCAATTTCTTCCCTTTTTTTTTTTTAATTGCCTCCCTTCTTAGAGGAAGAAAGGATGGTGGTAATAATAGTAACTGTGAACTAGCAGATATCCTCTCCCTTCTTATTTAATTAATAGGCCAGCTTACCCTGTATAGGAAAGTAATATTCCCCACAATGTCTAGCGTTGCCAGACAGTTTTCCATGACTCTTTACTGTGTAACTGGTCCTGGCGGTCTGTAGCTCTCCCTGACATGTGCCATGGGTATAGACAGCTTTGTATTGTTTCTACTTTCAGTACTGTCTGAGCCCTAGCCTGTGGGTACCCTCCCTGTGACTCCAGGCTAAACTTCACCTTATTGGCAAATGGTATTCTCTGACACCCTGAAGCCTAAACTCTTCATACAGACCATGAGAACAGTTAGGACTTTCTTCCACTGAAAAACAGAAATTTTTTTTATTAGAAAAATCTATTATTCTAAACTAGATCCCTCTTTCTAGGGTCTGCAGTGTCTTTGTAGTGCTGATTTGAGGAAGGGGATGGCAGCTTAGAAATAATTGTTTTAATGACCCCACTTCCCTTTGAGCTGCCCTTTTTTTTTCATCTTATGCATTCAGCCCTTATTTTTTTTCCAAAAATAAAATAATGTTAAAACAAAGCTTTTCCAAAGAACAAAAAAAAAACCAAAATGAAAACTTACAATTGGATAGCTTTCCTGGAGTAACTCTGAGCTGGAATGGGTCTAGGAGCCTTGTGTTATCTGTTTGTTTTCATGTGTTACATCCATGGCATCCACCTTTAAGTCACACCTCCCTCCCCCAACTTCAAGTAACTCCTAGTTTGAGCTTTCGGCTGCTTCTCTCCTCTGTTGCTGTTGCATCTTCACTTTGCTGGTGACTTCAGGCTGCTGCCATTTTCTGTTTTAATTTGGAGCATAACGTGGGTTCTTTTCAGATGTGACTAGTATGTTGTCTGTAGGACCAAAAGCCCATAGGCCACTTGTACTTTTTCTCTGTAAAATGAAACATCTGGTGCTTCTTTCTGTGCCACCATTTTCCATTTTCCAACCTTAAAACCAAAGCATGCTGTGCAAGAAGACAGCTTGCCATGTAAAGACCTATTAAAGGAGACCTCATTATGTGAGCACGACGTGCTCCACTCTCTCACTTAACAACTGCAGTGTGCCAAGAGTTCATTCAGAGGGTGTCTAATGCTTAAAAAATAAACAGACAAGTGGGGCAAAGGGTGACAAACTAAGACGCCGCAGGCTTACGGAGAATGAAAGACTTCAAACAATAAACAAGGAGGCAGAGATGTTCCATTTTACTGGGAAACGTTGAGATGGCTGCCTCTGTCATAGAAAATGTCAGAATTGTTGATGGTGGCTTTAAACTTGTTCATAGTAAAGAAAGGCTATTTTTAAAGAAAAAAAATGGTAGCAGGCAAATGTCACTAAAACCACACGTGTGTATTTGTTTCAGGAAAAACGGATCGTGTCCCTGGATTCAGCCAATACACGGCTGATGAGTGCCCTAACCCAGGTGAAGGAACGCTACAGCATGCAGGTCCGCAATGGCATCTCTCCCACCAACCCCACCAAGCTTTCCATCACGGAGAATGGTGAATTCAAAAACAGCAGCTGCTAACCAGCTCTCCTGAAGAGACAGTAGAGATTGAAAGATATTGTATTGGAAAATACAAACCCATCCCCCTGTCCCCAGCCCTTCACCCTGCCCCTCCAGGTTTACAGAATGCTGCTAAATTGGAATGGCAACATAAAGGAACTAATGAGTGGTGAAAGAAACCATCTCCTTCAGGGCATAAGACTAGGACCAGAGAGTCAGTGCTCTTCTCCCATATCTCTTTGTACATAAGGAACTCAGTTCTGGGCCATGTACAGAAAATGCCACTGTAATATACCAAAAGGAAGTTAATAATGTAGATTATCTTTTTAATTATTGCTATTTTTATTATTGTTGTTTTTCTCTTGTTAAAAGCACTGCAGTTGGTAGAGGAGGAAAAATAGGAACTATCTGTGAGTGAGGAAATGAGCTTATAGGTTTAGTAGAAAGAAACTATGTCTGACTGATACAAGCCCTTGGAGTGCAACAGATTGGCAGAATTCATTTTTCAAGGAATTGTTCTGCTGGTTTGAAAACCATCTTTGATCCTTTGATCCGTTTAAAAAAAAAAAAAGAATGGCAAGACCCAATCAAAAGAAATCTATACCAATGGTCAGTTAAGATTGGATCTGATCAAAGAGCCTTTGGCATCCACTATTACAAGGGAGAGAGGCAAAAGTTTACTGTAGCATCATTGGACTTTAGGGATAATGTTTAGATTCCTGTCAGTAAATCTGTTTCCTTCTCTCTATGGCAGATTTTCTCTTTAGTAGGCAAAAGAGAATATCCAATTTTAAATAGGGGATTTTTTTTCACCCCAGTTGTAATAAAGGTATTTTTTTCATTTTTAGAGTTTACAGAACTGTAAATATTTGTCTCTAAATGCCATCCTACGTCTTTGTATACTTCAGTGTCCTCTTCTCACCCATAATGGAAGCAATCATACCAAAAAAGGATTTATTCTCCATTATCTAAGTCATCCAAATCTGTTATCCACATTCCATCAGGGAAAAAACAAACAAGCATATTTATTGTTTCTGCCCTCCTTCCCTTCGCCCTAGAAAGGGCTAACTGAACAACATGAAGACCCTGTATAATTTCTGGTTTTCAAATATATCACAAATGCTTTTCTGATTTTTAAAATCATTATGTTCATTCAGATTTAGATTTTTATCTGTTGGAGTGACAAACTGGTTTTATCCAGATTACTACGTCTTCCTCACATTGCCCCCAGCCAAATTTGGAACTGAGTCCAAATCAGAATTCCCACATTTGGTGAAATGAAGCCTGCTCTTCTCCCAACACGAAACTGAATCAGGAGGCGGGGGCAATAGGCTGTTGGCGCACACAAGCTTTCATCTTCCAAGGAGTAGTTAAATCTCGTAGTAACAGGGTTGGCTATGGGAGACCCATTTTTTAGCCATGGCTTTCCTATAGGAAATAGTCTAGTTCAGATACAGTCACGTGAACTATTTATTTCCTTTGTTCAAGGAGTGTGAAACGTTGTCTTGGGTGAATAATTATCAAAAGTACAGAATTGTATGCATTAAACAATTATTATTCATATATAGTTGCACAAGTATACATATAACTATGCACAAGTAGGAAACAGTCAAACCTTCTATACCGTCAAATACAGTAAGGTCAGAGTGTCTTTGCTCTTTTTATCCAGGTCTTAGCAGTAATTTTGGTTGTGGGAGAGAAGTGTCTAGTATGAGTAACAATAATGTTTAATTCAAAATATTATTTTTTAAAAACCATAACAAACCTAAGGGACCAACCATGTGCCTAAAGTAAGCACCCATGGGTGGTGATGGTAGCTTTTTTTCTTCACCATCAGAGTAAACAAGGGGAAAAAAGAGATCATTTATGGTACAACTTTTGTTAATAGAACAGCCCAGTCAGATTTACCTCTCAGTGTTCCAACCCTGTGTTCTTTCTCTCTTCAGCCTTGCCCTCTCTCTCTCTCTCTCTCTCAGGTCAGTTTTTTTGACCCTCTGTGTTTTCTTGTCTTGTTTCTGTGCTTCTAAGTGATCCTTCCCCCTTCCTATATATACTCCCTTCACCAACTCCTAATGCCACCAAACAGATCTAAAGTAGGACCTTCTCTCTATATTGGCTTGCCCACAACTACTATGTTTAAGAGTTTGGGAAACCTGTGTGTTCCCATACTTTACTTCACCCTCCATTTTACACACACCCCTTAGAATGTGTTTCACGGACTGAACTAAATGTACTTCTTGTGTCTTTCTCCTCCACATTGAAAGTACAGGCCTGATTCTGATCACTTTGAGCCACTTAACACATACTGCTTTCAAAGACATGCCCAATTTTGTGAGAATTCAAAGTACTGATATCCTGTCCTTCTTACATGGCTATTCCCAACCCTAGCAAAATTAATTCTACACACAGCTCTATACCATAGAAAACTTGGTAAATGGATTGTCTGTTTTAATGGTTTTAAGTATGTTATACGAGTGATCTCTTGAATTGAGATTCAAAAACCCTAGAGTGTTTGAATATAAATGGTGTCTTGAAAGGCTTGTAGGTTTACCTACGTTGGAAATAAGCTTTTGGGTGAATGCTGTTTAAGGTGATGCATCAGACTAGATCTCAAGTGTTAGCCTTGTGGTATTCCGCTAAAGGTTTTGTTGTGATCAGATTCTGTAATTAGATGTCTAGACCTCGTGGGAATGTATTAGGCAGCCCTTTACGTAAGAAACTCTTAGTATGTGGAAGGAGAAAAGGAGAGAAACAATACACATGTTTCAGGGGCCAAGTTAGCAGGATTATAAGTAAACCAAGTAGCTACTATTTTCAAATATGTTGGCAAATGTATTTAAATTTAGCTTTGTCCTTTGAAAAATCTAGCTTATTTAAATAATTTAAGTTATTTAAATTAGATTTAAATTTAGATTATCCACTTATAGCCTCTATTTAGCCAAATCTTTTTTTTCTGAGCATTTCTATCAAGAATACAGCCCATTAAACATTTGATTAGTAGGTTCCAAAGAAGAGAGCTACAGGAAAGTAATAGTGTCCGTTCTTTCAATTGTTATTTAATATTTATGAGTTTTCTACTTCCAACTTTGTTGGATAATATGACAGAGAAAACCACCATAAAGGCAAATGGCCCTGCTTCAGCCAGTTGTTGAGGAGCCCAAAGACAAGACACAGCAACCTTTCTCCTACAAAAGAGACTGTGTTGTATGGTAGAGCTAATGGGCAAGTTCAGTTAGATGTCACGCTCCCTGCTCCTCCTGACTTATCACCTGTTTGTTAGGTATAAAATGGGCTTTGGTTGAATAGGATGTGGAATTCTGCAAAGTGCCTGTGTAGGTGACCCCAGGTTATAGGCAAGAGGAAAGACAGTTGATGAATGTTGCTAAGATTCAGGAAAAGAGCCTCATGTTTCATATTCCTACCACAGGATCAACAGTCAAGCCTACTAGGCCTGGTTTCTAAATGAGTTAAAATCCCATCAACTCATAATGTTCCATGAGGCCCTGCAATAAAAATTGTGAGGGGGCAAAGATTTGACTGGGGCTGGTTTCTTGCCACAAGTTAAATGTAGCATAGTGCTCTTTCTGTAGCATTAGATCTGTTTGCTTAGGTACTGTAGGCAGTCCAGATCAACTCTCTGTTAGTCTTCTTCTCCCTTTTACTGACGGTGGATTGTCCTGCCTATCTTAAAAGGAAGAAGTAAGATCCCATGTCTCGGACTGCTGTCCATCTCTATGAAGCATTAATTATATGCCCTTGAATACTGTCTTATTTTTAGAAGTTAAGCTTTTCAGATTTGTGACTACCTCTCTCTAGCCTTGTTATTGGACCTCTGCTTCTTAAATCCCACTGCCCTTTCACTCGGTCATTTCCCTGAGTTTAATCAGAATTGCAGTAAATGGGAGAAAAGCAAGGGTTCTTAGTCAGAAGTCCCATATAGCAAGGAAGCTGCTGCAGGGGAAGGTCAGCATTACTAATTCAGCTTCCGCTCCAATCTCCACCTAGGTAATCTCCTGTCCGTGGGCCCTTTGGAGGCCAATTCTTACACCAACTTAGCAAGTTAGACCATTCTAAGTGCCCAATGTGAGACCCTTCAGGCATGCAACAAAGTAGACCTGGAGACACCGGGATTAGCCATTGATCTGGACCTTCTCGCTAGCTCAGACTTGCTGCTCCAGAACCCATTCCACAGGCTAAATAACTCCTATTCTCTGCACTTTTGGAAGAACTTTGTGTGTGGGCTTAACCTTTGAAGAGTATGTATGGGCAATTACTCACCACAGTTGTGAGAAATTCCAGCCCCCATCCCTTCCCATGTATCCTTCCTCTCTCCATATACTCACACACTGAGAACCAATCATTTAATTTTCAGAATGTCATTTTCAGAAACATATCAATGGAAAGTACCTATTTTTAATACTTCTTCAAAGAAATGTTGGAGTTTTGAAACTTCAGATAGAAGTTCATGTGTTATTTTGAATTATTGCCCTTTGTTGCTAAAAGCATTCTCCTATTGTCAGTACCCAGCTGAGAATACTAAACTCTTGATTTTAGGAAGGACCAAAGCAATGAAATTTGTGTGAGATGAAATAAATATCTCATGAAGAAAGAAAGAGACAGAGAAGGATGTATGATCTAAATGCAGACTTATGCATATTAGCCTTCTCTACAACCCAAAGAACCACAGTTTTAAAGGAGGCAAGAAGAGTTTAGATTTTCCCACCATGTATAAAATGTGTTGCTATGATATATGGTAATATGGTATGATGGTTTCAACAGGTAACACAGTTTTCTGAGGCCCCCATTTAATCTACTTCATTCTATAAAATCAGTGATCATCAAACATTGTTGAATCGCATTGCCCTATCATCAGTTCGATTTCATTCTACCCCTCCCTCCTAAAAATGGTAAATGATATATATTTACATGTATGTACATGCCCCATTCACTTATCTTTAGGAGTAAAGCTTTTCAGATTTGTGTCTACCTCTCTCCAGATATACATGCCCATTTATCTTTAAATGTGAGAATATCATAAGACCCTTTGAAAGAATGGGAGGATGATGCCATGGGATGTCTTCCTCCAGAGTGGGAAGTCACTGTGTCATCCTGGGCCAAACCTGAGGAGGCCTAGCTAGCTATTTCCTCACTACTGGACCAAGATAATTTAGAAGTGGTGAGAGAGCCATCCCAACAATTGTCATACGTTGTCGTGTAGCGGGCTAACCAAAGACAAAGGGGGATGTATTTAAAAGATCTTGTTAATGTTCCAGAACACATTTTAATCCCATACTCATTTTGTTTTTCCACTTCAGCATTCCCATTTGCCTCTTGGAAATCTCTCTGGTTTAGATCGCCAAACAGGTTACTGTGTCACAGTAGTAGGAGGGTATGATCACTAAAATCCAGATCTATCAAAGTTACTATGGTGTATATATATTTGGAGGGTTGGGGAAGAGAATGTCTATGTGTGTAAATCGCATATTTTTTGTCATTTCTGAACTCCCAAGGGGGGAAAAGGCTCAAATCATCTCTTCCATAACAGGTTGAATATAAGTTACTCATTGGATAGCCACTATTTGCAAATAAGTTAAAACCAATAATGAAGGTGACATTTTTGACTGGTGCTTAGATATTTCCTCTTACTTTAAAACTAGCTCTCAGAAACAACAGCACATCAACTTGCATCACTCCCATGAGGAAATTACCTTTTAAAAAAAGATTTTTTTTCATCTCCAGGGCCTTAATAAGTGTGTGTTACTACACAGGGCTATTTTACAATGATCAAGCTAAATAATTTATTTTTTATTTCATGAAAGAGAAATACACCTTAGAAAAACAAAACCCAAGATTTTATTTTATTTTTAAAGCCATATTTTTGTGCTAGTAGCACATGGATTGTTCCATATGTGAGATCCATATCTGCATTTCATTACCTGGGTTTATTCTAAAGAAGATTTATTTTTGTTCTGTGAATAATTTTTGACGGTTCTTGTACATGTACAGATATAGATACATTTGAGGTCTTTTATTGATATTCCTACAAAGAATACAAATAAACTTTAACTTTAAACATTTGAGAGTAAATTTTTTTTACCCTATGTGACATTTCTCTTATTCGGCAGCACTGAATTTGGCGGCCTTTGGAGGTTGGGAGTAGTGGAATAAGAAAAAGCATATATAGGAAAGTGTTTCTGAAGATTATGTCAGTTTTAAGGATAGTTTAAATTATCCTTTTAGTTATGGATGAAAATATCCCATTTGTCAGAAAATAAGTTATTGATATTGATCCAGCCTTCAGATGTACAATAATTGGACCACTGCAAAAGATTCTTGTCATGCTACATTCTCGTAGAAAACTTGTAACTGATGAACTTGGAAAGCTTTATTTCAAGGGTGAACCTAGTCCACTTCGAAATCATGACTCATAAATCAAAGTGTGGGTCCATTGGTTTCCATCATCATTACCACCACTGTTGTGTCACAACTTGCAAGCCATGTGGAGAGGGGAAAGTCACATTCCTCATATTCATCCTTTGTTCAAGGTTAAATGCAACAATATATCAATTATGATTTCATTTGTGGGGGACCTCTTTCTACTGATGCATATGGCAATTTTGTAACTTAGCAGAGATGTTTTAGAGAGCTTTCTAGGCTTAGAAAGGTTAAGTCACTTACCGATGGTCACACAGCTAATAAGGGTTAGAGGTGGGACAAAGGTTAAAATATGGTACCTCATTCTTTCCCCATATTCTCCCATTTTCTTGCTCTTTTCTACAGAATTCACCACCACTATTCAGGTTTCTGATTTCTGTAGATCAATTTCCCAAGGGAGGGGGGCTGGATAGATTGAGAAGGCATTTAGGTATGAGAATATATTTAGAAAGCAGCCCCAAATTAGTAGACTCGAGCTACTTTTTGTTCTCTTCAAAGCTGATCCATTTCAGTCTGAATTGCTCATGACCTAAAATAACCTTTACGGCTTCTTGTATCTGAAACAGTAAAAGAAGAACGGTATTGCTACACCAACCTCTTGAATATTCATGGGCTAATTATCCTAATTATTCCCTGTAGTACATCACCCAAATTTAGAAGAAATATATAACAACCCAGAAAGTGAGAGAAAAACTTACGGTGGACATATAAATGGTTATGTGTTGTATAGTAGTCCACAAACTGTTACCAACGGACTTGTGTGCTAACAGCATAAGACATCATTAAAGAGGAATATAGGAAAAGATGGTAAGATGTTCCATGCGGGAGTAAAACGGGATGGCAGACAGCTAGATTAGTGCATTGACATCCCTGAGATACTAACAAACTAAAGTAAGAGCTCCCTCTTGCCTGTCAAGTGGGTCCTTTGTGAGGGAGGAGAAGAGACAGACATTGTGCAGGATGAGATCTAGTGTGGCCGTGACCTAGACCAGTGGGGAGGGGACCTGCCCCAGGGAGATCACTGATTCACCAGAATAAGATTCTCTGTTGTTCCTCTTCCGTCTCAGCCTGCCTACCTTCTGTTTCTAGCACCTTCATTAAAGGATGGACTGGAGAAGGGATGAAAGCCAAACCTGTCCTCTTAGTGTCTCTGCTAAGGAGGCTTAGTTGAAACTAGTGATTAGTTTGCGCTTTGGGGGTTTTTTATGGATTTCCGTAATTTACATCCACCTTGTCTCCTAAGACTGTGGGTGATAGAGTTGCTGAGAGTGTCACTCGCCCTATCTTTTGGACCTGAAGCTACAGCCGTAGCTGTACATAAGGGCCCCCAAATGAGAGAATGCCTGCACTCCCATATGCAATCAAGTAAGTCATCCCTCAACATAGAACGGAGATAGCCTGCCAGAGCTGGTTAGAAAGTGAAATTCCATAGTTTTAATCCAATTCCCCAATTAAGTCACTATAATTCACTATTTCTATGTAGCACTTTATAGTTGCAAAACACTTAAGAGGCCATCATCTCATATTCTAACAGCACTGTGAGGTCATTAGGACAAGTAATGTATATGTCTTTTATAAATCAGGGAACCGAGATTCACAGACAACATGGTGTAGCGGGAAGAGCCCTGGAGGGAATATCACAAATCCCGGATTTAAATTGCTTCCTATACTACCTTTGCCTCTATGAGCCTCAGTTTCTCCATCTGTAAAATGTCACGGTTGGTCCAGATCAGGGGTGGGGAACCTGCTGCCTCAAGGCCACATGTGGCCTTCTACGTCCTCAAGTGCGGCCTTTTGACTGAGTTCAAGTTTTACAGAACAAACCCTTTTATTAAGGGGTTTTGTTCTGTAAAGTTTGGATTCCGTCAAAGGGCAGCACTTGAGGACCTAGAGGCCTCTTCCAACTCTAGATCCTTGCCAACGCGATTTGCCCAAGGTCACAAAACACTTAACTGGCACAGCCAGAGCTTAAACCATGTCTTCTGACACTAATTCTGCTGCCCGTTCCTCTAAAACAAGCTGCTTCTGTTGGACATTAGAGGGGGATGGGCTTGGCCTCTAGGCAGCAGAGACCCCCAGGGACGGGTCAGTGCCTCCCAAGCAGCTAACAGTAAAAGACACCCATAGCATATCACTACTTGAAGAAGGCGTCAGATGGACCAGAACAGCCTCAGCAGGATACTGGTGGTCTCTGGGTCAGACCAAAATAATACTTTTTACTGTAAGGGATTGATAAAACAATTCAAAAGACCTTTAAAGTAAAATGTGGCAATTTAGTTTCTCTTCCATCAATTCCATAGTGAAATTCTATGCATGGGTGGGCTGGCCATTTTTTAGAGGAAACCCATTTAAAGAGTCTCTTTTCTATCTGCTGATGCTATATTCATGATTCCACACTCAGTATTTCAGTCTTGTTACTCCTAACATTTTTTTAAAGTACTGATTTGCATGGTATTTTGCATAGAGGTTGCATATTTCATTTCATACCAAAATGCAGAGAAACCCACATAGCTCTAACTGTTCTCCCTCCAAAAACACTTTTCTCGCCCTCTTGTCATGGGAAGTTAGGTTTGACCAAACTGAATTGGTTAGGTATCACCTATTTCTATCATTGTCTAAATTACAAAGAGCTACAAGAAAAGCTACCATTACTAATATTTTCCTCTGGGCCCTCAGTTTCCTTATCTGTCAAATGAGGGACTGGGCTAATTGATCTCTGAGGCTTCTTGTAATTCAAGGTCTTTGATCTGTAATCTAAGGTCCTGTCCAGCTCTGATGTGAGTTGAAAAAGGTACATTCACAGCAAATTAAAATCAACCCTAGTTTTGATTCTTCTCCCCTTTCCCTACTCTTAAGTTCATACATTTTAGGCCAATCCAATTGGAGGATGTCCAAGTTCTCAGTAAGTATCTTACAACTGCTCTGTTGCAGAGTCAACACAGAAATTTTAGGAATTGAGAAGATAGACAACCTGTCCCCAGGAGCATCTTCTTCTGCAAAGCTGGTTCTGTACATCTTGGCTCAGGCAGCCCATCACCCTGACTTGTGAAGTCAACCGGGGGGTTGGAACTGGAGGAAATCAAAGGTGGGGAAGGCAACAGTCATGGAGGGGTGGGGAGGATGGAGGGGAGCTGTCTCACCTCTCTCAGAAACTCTTCTTTTCTGGCCTCAGATTCCAGGATAGCTGGAGAGTTGAAATCAGCTTTCAGGATCCCAAAGCGTTGCTCTGTCCCCAAGAGAAATCAAAATCAGTTCAGATGAGCCATGCTGCCTGACAGGACCATGGCATTCTTGCTGATAGGGGCTGGGCTCAGCCCCCCAAAGTGACTCAAGGGGCCTTATTTGAGGGCAAAAAACTGTTATGTGCTCAGCAGGAGGCGGACTGGCCTATCCCAGGCAAAAAAAAAAAATGTTTTCGGAGAAAGGAGGACCCACTGTGGGAATGGAGAAGAAGGTATGTTTCTTATGTGACTGTTTCCTCCAAGCCCCACTATCCAATTGGCAGCCAGATGGCATAATGGTTAGAGCCTTGGGCCTAGAGTCAGGACAACTTTAGATCCAGCCTCAGACACTATTAGCTGTGTGACTCTGGACAAGTCACTTAAACTCCATTTACCTCATCTGTAAAATGGGGACAATAATGGCCTTAAAAATCTTAAATCTCTATATAAACGCTAGTGACTATTATTATCTACCAGGTGCCTATCTCAACACCGTACTCAGTCTTCTCCTCTCTCCTAACAACAATAATTATTACTATGAGTGGTAATGATATGACTGATGATTATATGATTATTGATTAATAACTATGATTAATAATAACAGCTAGCATTTACATGCCGCTCTAAAGTTTGCAAAGTGCTTTACAAATAACATCTGATTTGATCCTCACAACAACTCTAGGAGGTAGGTACTATTATTATCCCCATTTTACAGATGAAGGAACCGAGGCAGACAGATGTTGGATGACTTACCCAGCTAGTAAGTGTCTGAGGCTAGATTTGAACTTGGGTCTTCCTGACTCCAGGTTCAGCATTCTTGTCTACTGCACCACCAGCTGCTGCAATTTTACTAAGTGACATCTAGAGAATTTCATGCTTACAAGACATTTTTCATACATTATTAGTTCACTTGCTCCTCATAACATCTCTGTAAGGGAGGTGCCGTTATCATCCCCGCTCCCCAAGTCAGAGTCACACAGCCAGTTAGTGACTGAGCCAGTATTTGAACTTAGGTCTTCCTGACTTCCCCATCCAAAACTACCCCAGGCCACACTGTCTCTTTCTCAACCTGGTCCCTACATTTTTAGAGGCTGGCCTTCAGATCTTTTGACTTTTCAGCTTGGCATTAATCTACTGGAAAGTACCAGCTGTCCTAAAAACCAGAAATCACTGTGAGCACACCCCAGCTGGCTCCCTGGCATTGTCACGGGTGCCACAGCCTAGGACGTGGCCTCTCAGAAGGGGTGGTTGGAGAGGACACTGCATGTAGAATTCAGGCTCTGGGATTCCTTGATTCATTCCTTCCCATTTCATTGAGGTTTGGTTTTCTCAAATACTGGAAGAGACACTTGGCATTTAATTGGATAGAAAGAGGCATTTAATCGATCCTGCTATTGACGTATTTTCCCTGGGCTCCCAGTAGGTCAGGAAGGATCTCTAAAGGAGGGTATTTGTGGATTGAGTTAATAGTAGCTTTGCCTCCTGAGTGGTGACCTCCCAGAGAGTGCAGCTACACGAGGGAAAATTAAGCATCCTTGTGGACCTACAGGACTGTGCACAAGACAAGAGTGGGATTGGCTCAGGGTTTGAGAATGGAGGGGTGCCTATTCTATGCCCAGTTCCTATCCAGTCCAATCCAAGTATTGAACAAGCACTGATTTATCTATGTGAGGCCCGGTGGATCCTGTGGAGTTGGGAAGAAGGTCCCCAGGCCTGCCTTGGACACACACTGGCTGCTGAACTTGGACAAATCGCTTGGACTCTCACTGGCCCAGACCACTCTCTGAGGCTAAAGAGCAGAAGAGGCTATTGGTAGAGGGGATTTCCATACTAGGAGTTACCAGCACCAATGAGTCACGGATCAGACCAAAAAGGGAAAACATATGACAAGGAAATTATACTGTCAAATGGAGGTGGGTGTACATTTTCCAAAACTGCACCTGTGGCTTGGTATGGGGAGAGCACAATTCTTGCCCCTGGGCATCAAAGACCTCCCAAACTCTGACTTTTACAAGGCTCAAGTTAGCCTGAGAGCACACCCAGACACACTCATACATGTATACAATACACAAACACACATATATATACACATACGTACATTCAGACACACATGCACACACATATATATACATTCAGACACACAACACAAATGTGTGTGTGTATATATATGTACATATATACACACACATGCACATACACATTCAGAACACATAACAGATATACATACATGCACAGACACAACCTCATGGCCACACAAATGCACAGAAACACACATGCATTCTCACACACATACGCTCATGCATTCATACATGTATACTCACGGATACACACCTGCACATACCCACATGCACACATATACAGTTATAGACATACACTCACACTCATATCCACACAAACCCCTCCAATTTTCACCACTCAGCCGCTCAGCTTTTCTATCCATCCCGGAGCAGCTACCTTAAGGGAAATGGGGGAAGTTCCCTTTCTGTCTCTCATTCCTTTTCTCATACTCCCAGCTCCCAGGGTCCCAGTAGCCCAGCAGGAGCCCCCCACTCAAACTTTCCCAAGTCTGCTGGGCTAAGTAAGAACCACAAGCCCTAGATCTCATTCCTCTTTGTGCCTGCACAACGGATGAAGCCCCCTGAGCCTATTTCCTGAGCTACAACCTGTATGATTCATTTGCCAGAGCTCAGTGTGGGTGGCTGGAGGCAGGGAGAGGAGAGGACACCAAAAGGAAAGATTTATCACCAGGCCACCATCTCCCTCCCAGCAGCAGAGGCCTCCCAGGAAGAAGAATCCCTGGGTCTAGGAGTGGGAAGGGGTGAAGAAGAAGCCGCCTGAGCCTCTCACTCCTCAATGGGGACAGGCACTGACACCATTTGCCTTAGAGTAACTTAATTAACATGGCCAAGGCCATGGAGGAGAGGGTGGTGTCAGGGATCCCTTCTCAGGCTGGCCAGTGAGGATAGGAAGGGGGTCTTGGCCAAAGGGTGGTGACTGTTGCTCTCTTCAGCTGAAACCTGAGCTTAGGGGATGAATGGGGAGTCCTTCATGCTACTGTGGCTCCACCCCAACCCTCCTCTACCCTTATACCTACTGACCACTAGGAGCGCTCTTTTGCTCAGAAGCCACCACAGTGGTCCTCTGAGGGAAGAGGCCCAGCAGAGGGAGAGGACAAAGAGGCTTTAGACAAAGCCAATGACAGAAGGGTCACCTGTGAGTGGAGGAGAAAGGATTACCTCCTCTTGGGGACAGAGGGCTCCCAGGAGGGTCAGAGCTGGCCTGGCTGGTCACATCTACTTTCTTCTCAGTGATAGAGTTGCTCCCTACAGTAGAAACAATCAGAAGATGAGACCAGGAACCAGCCCACTCTGATCAGAGCTGGTACAAGGCCTGAGAAGGCAGGAGAGCACAGTGGGTACCTGGTTCAGACTCTGGCTGGCTCTGTGTGGGCCCAAGTTTCGATGTGATGGTCAGATGGGGGTCAGGTGTTCCTGGGGCAATGTTGTTCCTCCCTGAGCTGGAAGTCTGGGATGTGACTGCTTGGAGCTCCAAGGGGCTGCCTGTTGACTCAGCACTGGCAGTTGGTGGCATGTGTCCTGTTACTGCAGACAATCCCTGACCTGTTGTAGTCATATAGTCGGAAGTGCTATCCCCTAAAGCAGAAAAAGGGGCTTGGCTGGGCAGCTCAGACATTGCTCTTCTCCTTGAGAAGCCCTGCCCTCTCCCCACTGTACCTGCATGTGGGAGAAGGAGCCCTGAGAAGATGGAGTCCAGACTGGGAAAGCTGGGAGACACCTCAGGCTTCAGCCACTCTTTCCAATAGAAACAGATCTCAGCAAGCTCAAATTGACTTAGATATCTATGTTGTATTTTTTTTCATTTATTTTCTTAAACCTTTTCCAATTACATTTTAAGCTGGTTCTGACTGCTCTGAGACATTTTTCAGGCCACCTGAGACTAGTCCAACCATTAGCCAAATAGCAGTCCCTCTCCAGGGCCCCAGATAGGTGCACCACAGTGATGGGGCACTCACTACCTCCCCAGGCAGCCTATCCCACTTTTCAATGACTGTCTTAGGAAGCTTTGCCTTCTCTCCAACCTCAGTCTGCTCCTCTGATATTTCCACCCACCATGCCTAGTTCTTGAGAACTAGGGACCAACTCCATTCAATTCACCAAGTGTTTATTAGACATCTAATCATTTCCTTCCCTTGGAGGAGCTTACATTCTCCTGGAGGCTTTTGAGGGGCAGAAGCTGCTAGGATCAGCTGCTCCTGAGGCCTGGTATTATGGGAGCTTAGGTGGTCCTGGGTGCCAAATGCCTCCCAGCCCCTTAGACACACACACACACACATACAAACACACAGTGCCATCATGGTAGACTGTAAGTCTGTGCCATCCAGAGCAGCTAGCTTAAGGGAACATTGGCCAGTTTTCCCTCTGCACCTGATTTCACCTCCCATAAACCTCCCTCCCAGCCACTTGAGCCTTTCATTCCTCAGTTAGCATCAGTGCTCACTGCCACTAAGTGCTTTCAATTAACTTAATTTTGGGGACCAGGCCATGAAGGCCAGAGCAATTACTATTAGGGATCCCTCCTCAGGCTGGCCAGTGAGGATGAGGAGGGGGCTTTGCCCCCAGGGGCGTGGCTGCTGCTACTCCCCTCAGCCAAAACCAGAGCTTAGGGGATGCATGGGGAGCCCTACATGCTGGTTTGGCTCCATGCCAAAGTATCTCCAGCCCAGCCCCCCCCCACTTATTTGCCTACTGACCACCAGGGACAGTCCTCTGCTCAGAAGCCCCCACAGTGGGACCCAACAAAAGAAGAGGATAAAGATGCCCATTGTGAAGCCAGGGACAGAGAGGTCACTTGGAGGGGGACATAGGGAAAAGAGGATTACCTCCTCTTGGGGACAGAGGGCTCCCAGGAGGGTCAGAGCTGGCCTGGCTGGTCACATCTACTTTCTTCTTAGTGAAAGAGCTGCTCGCTACAGTAGAAACAATCAGAAGATGAGACCAGGAACCAGCCCACTCTGATCAGAGCTGGTACAAGGCCTGAGAAGGCAGGAGAGCACAGTGGGTACCTGGTTCAGACTCTGGCTGGCTCTGTGTGGGCCCAAGTTTCGATGTGATGGTCAGATCGGGTCATTGTTCCTGGGGCATGTTGTTCCTCCCTGAGCTGGAAGTCTGGGATGTGACTGCTTGGAGCTCCAAGGGGCTGCCTGTTGACTCAGCACTGGCAGTTGGTGGCATGTGTCCTGTTACTGCAGACAATCCCTGACCTGTTGTAGTCATATAGTCGGAAGTGCTATCCCCTAAAGCAGAAAAAGGGGCTTGCTGGGCAGCTCAGACATTGCTCTTCTCCTTGAGAAGCCCTGCTCCCTCCCCACTGTACCTGCATGTGGGAGAAGGAGCCCTGAGAAGATGGAGTCCAGACTGGGAAAGCTGGGAGACACCTCCTGCTTCAGCCACTCTTTCCAATAGAAACAGATCTCAGCAAGCTCAAATTGACTTAGATATCTATGTTGTTTTTTTTCATTTATTTTCTTAAACCTTTTCCAATTACATTTTAAGCTGGTTCTGACTGCTCTGAGACATTTTTCAGGCCACCTGAGACTAGTCCAACCATTAGCCAAATAGCAGTCCCTCTCCAGGGCCCCAGATAGGTGCACCACAGTGATGGGGCACTCACTACCTCCCCAGGCAGCCTATCCCACTTTTCAATGACTGTCTTAGGAAGCTTTGCCTTCTCTCCAACCTCAGTCTGCTCCTCTGATATTTCCACCCACCATGCCTAGTTCTTGAGAACTAGGGACCAACTCCATTCAATTCACCAAGTGTTTATTAGACATCTAATCATTTCCTTCCCTTGGAGGAGCTTACATTCTCCTGGAGGCTTTTGAGGGGCAGAAGCTGCTAGGATCAGCTGCTCCTGAGGCCTGGTATTATGGGAGCTTAGGTGGTCCTGGGTGCCAAATGCCTCCCAGCCCCTTAGACACACACACACATACAAACACACAGTGCCATCATGGTAGACTGTAAGTCTGTGCCATCCAGAGCAGCTAGCTTAAGGGAACATTGGCCAGTTTTCCCTCTGCACCTGATTTCACCTCCCATAGACCTCCCTCCCAGCCACTTGAGCCTTTCATTCCTCAGTTAGCATCAGTGCTCACTGCCACTAAGTGCTTTCAATTAAGCTTAATTTGGGGTCCCAGGCCATGAAGGCCAGGCAATTACTATTAGGATCCCTCCTCAGGCTGGCCAGTGAGGATGAGGAGGGGCTTTGCCCCCAGGGGCGTGGCTGCTGCTACTCCCCTCAGCCAAAACCAGAGCTTAGGGGATGCATGGGGAGCCCTACATGCTGGTTTGGCTCCATGCCAAAGTATCTCCAGCCCAGCCCCCCCCCACTTATTTGCCTACTGACCACCAGGGACAGTCCTCTGCTCAGAAGCCCCCACAGTGGGACCCAACAAAAGAAGAGGATAAAGATGCCCATTGTGAAGCCAGGGACAGAGAGGTCACTTGGAGGGGGACATAGGGAAAAGAGGATTACCTCCTCTTGGGGACAGAGGGCTCCCAGGAGGGTCAGAGCTGGCCTGGCTGGTCACATCTACTTTCTTCTTAGTGAAAGAGCTGCTCGCTACAGTAGAAACAATCAGAAGATGAGACCAGGAACCAGCCCACTCTGATCAGAGCTGGTACAAGGCCTGAGAAGGCAGGAGAGCACAGTGGGTACCTGGTTCAGACTCTGGCTGGCTCTGTGTGGGCCCAAGTTTCGATGTGATGGTCAGATGGGGGTCAGGTGTTCCTGGGGCAATGTTGTTCCTCCCTGAGCTGGAAGTCTGGGATGTGACTGCTTGGAGCTCCAAGGGCGGGGCTGCCTGTTGACTCAGCACTGGCAGTTGGTGGCATGTGTCCTGTTACTGCAGACAATCCCTGACCTGTTGTAGTCATATAGTCGGAAGTGCTATCCCCTAAAGCAGAAAAAGGGGCTTGGCTGGGCAGCTCAGACATTGCTCTTCTCCTTGAGAAGCCCTGCTCCCTCCCCACTGTACCTGCATGTGGGAGAAGGAGCCCTGAGAAGATGGAGTCCAGACTGGGAAAGCTGGGAGACACCTCCTGCTTCAGCCACTCTTTCCAATAGAAACAGATCTCAGCAAGCTCAAATTGACTTAGATATCTATGTTGTATTTTTTTCATTTATTTTCTTAAACCTTTTCCAATTACATTTTAAGCTGGTTCTGACTGCTCTGAGACATTTTTCAGGCCACCTGAGACTAGTCCAACCATTAGCCAAATAGCAGTCCCTCTCCAGGGCCCCAGATAGGTGCACCACAGTGATGGGGCACTCACTACCTCCCCAGGCAGCCTATCCCACTTTTCAATGACTGTCTTAGGAAGCTTTGCCTTCTCTCCAACCTCAGTCTGCTCCTCTGATATTTCCACCCACCATGCCTAGTTCTTGAGAACTAGGGACCAACTCCATTCAATTCACCAAGTGTTTATTAGACATCTAATCATTTCCTTCCCTTGGAGGAGCTTACATTCTCCTGGAGGCTTTTGAGGGGCAGAAGCTGCTAGGATCAGCTGCTCCTGAGGCCTGGTATTATGGGAGCTTAGGTGGTCCTGGGTGCCAAATGCCTCCCAGCCCCTTAGACACACACACACACACACAAACACACAGTGCCATCATGGTAGACTGTAAGTCTGTGCCATCCAGAGCAGCTAGCTTAAGGGAACATTGGCCAGTTTTCCCTCTGCACCTGATTTCACCTCCCATAGACCTCCCTCCCAGCCACTTGAGTCTTTCATTCCTCAGTTAGCATCAGTGCTCACTGCCACTAATTGCTTTCAATTAACTCAATTTGGGGGCCCAGGCCATGAAGGCAATGGTAGGGATCTCTCCTCAGGCTGGCCAGTGAGGATGAGAAGGCAGCCTTGCCCCCAGGGTGGTGGCTGCTGCTCCCTTCAGCCAAAACCAGAGCTTATGGTGTTGAGGTTTAGAGTTGGGAGAGCAGGTTCAGGTGGGAAAGAATTCACTTAGACCTGCTCTGCACCCATGGGGATCTTCATGGGCCTATGGTTAGCAAAGAGCTAGCCAAAGGCCCTGATATAGGCAAAAAAACAGGCTTATGTAGACAGAAAGTTATACAGCCTGTAGGATAATAATGTAATTTTAGAGTTTCTTATGGGGATTGAAGTTTAGGACTTACAAGATAAGAAAAAATTATCTTGACACAGGGTGGGGAAGACAGTGAACACAGGATAAGGGAGACAAAAGCAATTTCTTTTGGTACAAGTTGTATGGTATTTCAAGATAAGGGGGAAAGGACTCTAGAAGACCCTCAAGCTTAGGAGGGGCCTCACAATGTACTGGAAAAACAAACCTTATTTTTTTTTTGGCTTTTAGGGCACCATTTGTATCTACATCAAGGGGATGCATGGGGAGCCCTACGTGCTGGTTTGGCTCTATGACAAACTATCTCCAGCCCAACCCTCCCTTATCCATTTCTTAATGACCACCAGGAACAGTCCTCTGCTCAGAAGCCCCTAAAGTGGGGCCCAACAAGAGGAGAGGATAAAGATGCCCAACGTGAAGCCAGGGACACAAAGGTCACTTGGAGGGGAGCACAGGGAAAAGAGGATTACCTCCTCTTGGGGACAGAAGGCTCCCAGGAGGGTCAGAGCTGGCCAGCAAGCCCTGGCTGGTCCCACCTGTTTTTTTTTTCCTAGTGTTAGAGCTACTTCCTACAATGGAAAAAAAAATCAAATGAGGCCAAAGATACCACGTACCCTAATCAGAGCTGGGTACAAGACTCAAGAAGGCAGGAAAGAGGAGTGGGTATCTGATTCAGGTTCTGGGTGGCTCCGTGTTGACCCAAACTTGGTAGGTGGCCTACATATGATGTCCAGGTTGGGGAAAGGCATTCCTTGGATGATAAAGACTGGAATTCCTTGCACGTCAGTGCCAATCCCTGAGCTGGAAGCCTGGGACATGACTGCTTTGAGTCCTCAGGGACTGCCTGTTGGCTCAGGACTGGTAGGTGGCATGGGTCCTATGACTGTCAGCCAATCCTGACCTGTTGTAGCCCACAGAGACAGCACTGTTCCCTAAAGCAGGAAAAGGAACCTTGATATGGAAGCTGAAACACCTCCAGGATCAAATGTAAAATCCTCTGTTTGGTGGTGGTGTTCATCCACAAGAGCGATGCCTCAACCTGCTGGTAAATTGGATGTAAGTGAGGCAGAGCTAGGCAAAGTCATCAGCCTCACTCTCTCCTCCAGTCATCAAAGTCCAGTGGCAAGACAAAAGTCAACTGGCAGTAGCCTAGGATGCAGTGGCTGACCTTGGCCTTTCTAAATTAAGATCTTTCCCAGAACTCAAGTTTGTGTGAGGCAATACCCGTTCAGTGACCAAGAGGTAGGTAAGAACAGAAACAAAAGATGGCCTAATTTAGTCTGGTGTTCAGAGCCTCCATCACTGCTCCTCCCTTCTAGTCTTCTTACACCTTACCTCCCACATACTCTTCCATTCAGTGACACTGGACTCCTTACTGTTCCCTACTCTGTGCATTTTCACTGCCTGAAATTCTCCTCCTCATCTCTGCCTCCTAATCTCCCTGTCTTCCTTCAAGTCTCAGCTAAAATCCCACCTTTTACAGAAAGCTCTTCCCCATTCTTTCCATGCTAATGCCTTCCCTCTGTGGATCATCTCCAATTTATCCCGTCTATATCTTGCTTGTACATCATTTTTTTTATGTTGTCTCTCCCACTAGACTATGAGTTCCTTGAGAGCAAGGAACATCTTATTACATCTGATAAAATAATCCATGCCAATGGGATAAAAAAAAAATGGTATATTGACCCTCCCAGACAATATTTTTCTTTTAATAAGGGAGCCTTGCTTTCAGAAGCACTGCCTTGATACAAACATGCCAGCCGGGAGAAATATTTGATGCTGAAAGTCCTCAAACTGTGTCTCTCCTTTGAGGTAGGTACCAGCTCCAACACAGACAATGGGGCAAGAATGCCTTAGAGCAGAGGTGCCAACCAGGACTGCACGTGTCCCTCCTGGGTGCAGCCTCAACCAGGTTAAAACACAGTTCCTATCTGAGTGTAATGTGCT